AATGAGTTGATATCAAAGATAACATAAATCCTTCGTTCAGGGACTACAAAACATGCTTAAAAGAAGTGTGGAAAATTTGAACTCGACCGCTTCAATAGTCGTCGAGAAACTTTTGACTACCGATTTCTATAAAGTTTCAACATCGGTCAAGCCATGACAAAGACGGCGGTTTATAAAACTCTCTAATTTCTATAGTTTCGTCTCGATCGTCTTGAAACCTGTGGCAAATATTACTTAAACTTTGTACTTTTATACAAAAAATTATCATAAAAATTAATTTTTTGAAATTTCAAGACCTATGTAACCCCTTAATCTTAAATATACAATCCTTCTTTCGGTTAATTTTAACTCCTAGAAAATAGAAAAATGTCATACGTCACATTACCAATCGAAAATAAATGCGAAAACGGAATTCCGACTTGTTTTCACTGTTTTTCTTAGGTTTTGGAAAAAGTGGCCATTGAATAGATCTGTTGGCCACTACTGTGGCCACACCAAAAAAAAGTTTGGACAGCACTGCCTTAAGGCATCTTGGTTCGTGATATTACAAAAAAATCCCTTGTGGAAAGTACCGAACGTAAAAGAGAGAACCACGACACATTTATATATAATTGGCATTTTGTAACCGCTGGAGCGATTTTCGACCGAGCTCCAATTTGTGGTTTTGCGTCTTGATGTTTTTCCAACAAATGGAGGGACCTATAGTTTATACTAAGCCGCCTCCGAACGGCTGATGTTTTTTTTTATGAGGAGCCTTTATTTCATGTCAGAAATCCGCTCGGAGAGCTTGGCATTTTCTGTCGCAGAGCGAGCGCAATTAGAAAATTTAATTTAACTTTTTATTTAAATTAATTTTTTATATTTTTTTTTTTTTTGGTGTCAGTGCGGTCCGTATTTGAACCCCCGAGTCTTCCGAATGGCAGATAATGCAGGCTCATAATATTGGAATATTCATATTCTCTTAGCGCCAACTTATAGCAAGTTTCAAGGGGTGTTCATATTGTTTGTCTAGGAAATACTTCTCCAGCGTACTGGATAGCAGTGAAATTGCTACACCAGGAAATGGCGAACCTAAATTCCCAATCGATGCCGACGGAACAAATGTTTCTCATTGCCCAACTATTAAGAAATGCGAATAGTAATCGCCCGGCCGAACTATTCAAATACGACAGTGAAAGCTGCATGCATCAGCTTTTTTGCAAAAATGCTTTTCACAATCCACATCAAGGGGGACCCCTTAATCTGCGTTCAATATCATAGCATAAGCTCCTTAATCTCAGACCCTATCCAGTGTATTAAGTTTAAGTTAAACAGTTAACTAGCTATTGGGATCTTATCAGCGTGGCTTCAGATCTGCCAAAGCTATAAGTGGACAGACGTCCGCTGGTTTCAACAGCGTCTTTGATAACACAAAAATCTACTAAAATTATGCCACTAGACTTGAAATTTGTTATCCCCAAAATTCATACAGCTGTATAAACTGACGTTAAGCAACACCTAAAGCTCGGTCAGAATCGGTATGAACTCTCCAATCCGTTCGATACTGAACAAAGTTGTTAAGAGAGCGCCTCTATATCGTATGCTAGAGAAGCTAATAGGGGATGCAGAACTAGGTAGAGAATCTGTATTATACGGATAATATTGATACTATTAGCCTTAACAACCATGACTTAAGAAAATTAAATAATCTCGTCTTTCCTCACACTTCACTGTTAATAGTCACAAATTTGTGGTTATAGATATTTTGAGGTTATAAGTAATTTCATCTACACTTAAATCAACAACAATGTTGCCAATAGACGCTACTTTGAACTGAGTAGTCAATTGAAAAGAAAAGCCCTCTTTCAGTGTACAATGCCAAAGCTTTACAAGTCGCTTATCATTCCCGTTCTGCTGTATGCTGCGGACGCCTGAACGCTGACCATATTTGATAAGTCTGCATTAGGAGTTTTTGGGAGAAAGGTTTTGCCGAATCTACATAGTAATTTGCTCATGGTCATCAGTGTATAATGAAGTCGATAGTCAGTACCGCACGATAGCCTCTGTGCTGATCAGATGAGAAAACTCCAGTTTTAAAATTACTTCATATGCAAAGTATAATGGCGGACGACGTTATAGCTAGGTCGACGCCCTCTGCTTACCCGTTTATATGAATTACTTCCCGCTTCTCAGCAATATACTTACGTAGAAAACTTCACTTAACCCGCATAAACCAAATTGATGTTGTTTGAATCATGCACAAAATGTGAATACATACATATATATATATATATATAATATATAATTGGAGTTTTGTAACCGCTGAAGCGATTTTCGGCCGAACTCCTCCTCCAATTTGTGGTTTTACGTCTTAATGTTTTTCCACCAAATGGAGGGACCTACAGTTTATACTAGGCCGCCTCCGAACAGCTGATGGTTTTGTATGAGGAGCCTTTATTTCATGTCAAAAATACACTCAAAGGGACTGACATTCCCTGCCGAGAGGCGACCGCTTAATTAACTTTAGCTTAATTTTTTATTAAAATTTATTTCTATAACTGTTTGGATGTTAGAATGACACCAGGATTTGAACCCGAGCCTCCCAAATGGCAGTACGCAATGCTAACCACTCGGCTATAGCGGACGCCACGTGAACACATACAGGTATATAATATAATATACGTGCATGCAAACCAAAAAAAAAAATATAAAACCATTTGGTCCCAGTGGAGCAACGAACGAGTTGTAATATGTTGTGAAGTAAACATAAAAACCAAGCTCAGATTTGTGTAGGCTATTCGCTATAAACTCTTGTCTCTTGGTAAAACATTGGGACAATAGATTTTAACGGGCTTCTCCTGAAACCAATTCTTCACCAGCCATTCATCAATCTTTGTAATCGGTTAATTTCCACTTTGTGGTTTTGCGTCTTGATGTTTTTTCCAACAAAAAGAGGGACCTACAGTTTCTACTAAGCCGCATCCGAACGGCTGATGGTTTTTTGTGACATTGCCTGCCGAGGAGCGACCATAATTAGCAAATTTTACATACTTTTTTATATAAATTAAATTTCAATAACTTTTAGATATTGGTCGTACCATTAGCCATCGACAGAAACAATTGGTTATCACTTGGTGCGTGATCCGAACTTCTGTACGAGTCACTTTCCATGTGTGTGATTTGGCAGTGTTGTCCTGATGAAACACAATTCTCCTCATTTTGACCAACCACCGTGCTGACTCACTGCCCTTCGACAATGATCGTTTTCATTCTGTAATTGACCCACTTTTTATCTCCTGTCACCAATCGCTTCAGAAATCGATTAACTGAACTAACAGGACCATTAACACAATTTTTATTTTCAGCTGACTGAATTGCGTTTTCGCCCTTATCGATAAATGGCGAACATAACGTATTTTCTCTTTGCCCATGTACATCTTTGACATGCTCTCAGACACTACTGAGTTAAGGGATCAAGACTTCTCTCATAATCTTTTTTAATACAAAACATCATCTTTCTAACGCCATCTGGCTTAATCTAATCGCACTTATAGAACGCGAAAAACAGATCAGTAATCCGTCTAATGCAAAAAATGGATTTACTTTTATCAGGCCAATAAAAGTGTATAATTTTATAAAATCTGTTATATTATGTTATTATTCAATAAAATATGTATACACGGTGTGTCCTAAAAATAACCGAACTTTATATTTAAATCATACAACATACAGCGCCATCTATTGAAAATTTGCAACAATAAAAACATACATTCATCCTCTTTCAAACGCACCTAACATCATGTAAGTCGGATGACAGATGTAAAAGTGACAGTCATTCCAATAAAACCTAATGGTTCAAAAATAAAATGGCACAAAGAGCAAATATAAAATTTTGTGTCAAACTTGAAAAAAAATTAATGGAAAAAAGTTTATTGTGATGATTGTATGAGTCGCACGCAAGTTTATACGTGGCTTACACGATTTAAAAATGGTCATGAGGATTTAAATGACGACCCTAGAGCACGACGTCCAGAGACTCTTAATCGTGCTGAACTGGTGGAAAAAGTCCGTGAAATCATTGGTATCGATGCAAATTTTACTACGAGAATGTTGACTTAGGGATTGAATACGAGTAAAAACACTATTTGGAGAATTTTAACTATAGATTTGGGGAAAGAAAGGTCTGTGCGCGATTTGTTCGACATGAATTAAATGACGACCAAAAAATCGCTCGAATTTTTAATGAAAAAAGTGATTTCTCTCATCGACCATCCTCCGTATTCGCCTGATCTATCACCATTTGACTACTTTTTATTTCCAAAACTGAAAACCAAGATGAAGATAGCATTTTATGATGATATCCCAGCCATTCAAGCAGCCATAACCGAGGTACTGAAGAAAATTTCTATAAATGACATTAAAAAATCTATGCATGCGCTGGTTGATCGCTCCAAACGTTGTGTTGAGTCAAATGGAATCTATTTTGAATAAATAATAACTTTCAAAGATAATATAATGTGTATTTTATTTTATATCCAAAAAGTTCGGTTATTTTTGGGACACACTGTGTATACTTATACGTATTGTGCCTTAAAATAGACAAAAACTTTACATTCGTATACACCCAGCCAAATTCATGGTAAGCACTGTACTCCGAAAGCAATGCAGAATAGCATTAGTCCCTCCTTCCTTTGCAACGCATTCCAGTCACATTCCGAACTCGTTACATTTCTTGCAGGGTACTAACATTTGGATTTATACATGTACTCATGCGTACACGTATGTATGCATAAATTGAAATTAACATGGGAAAAGGGCGTACATGCATACGTATAAAGGCGATTTAGTCAATTAAAAATGATTACTGCGATTTGCGAAAACAAGTCCATTTCAGTGCAAATTAAGTGATTTGAATTGAATTGAAAAACGAAGAGACCGCAATACTAACATCGAAAACTCCCATTTTCTTGGGGTTTGACCATTTCAGCTAATTTAATATAGCAAAATTGGAATATCGAATTGCAAAGAAATTCGCATCAGCATCTCAGCTGCATCAGCCGCAATGCAACTCTGCCAAGATTTTAATAAACACAATGAATAGCTGAGCCTTAGTATAGGCTGAAAATTAATCGCGAATATCAAAGCAATCAGTCAGTGTTTGTCGGCGCAAGCGAGTGAAAGCTGCATTCTCCCATAAAATATTGTTATTTTTTATTTAACTAAATATGTCCAGTGCTGAAAAGAATTTACAAAAAGTGGCTCTTGTCACTGGTGCATCAGCTGGTATCGGTGCACAAATTGCGCTTCAATTGGCCAATAACGGAATAACTGTAATCGGAATGGCAAGGAGAACGGAACTAATTGAAGTATGAAGAAACTTGTGTAGTTGAAGAATTAATTAAGACTAAAATAATAATTGAGTATATTAAAATAAAAATACATGTAAAGAACTTTAAGCTGTGAAACCTGGTACTGGGTTCTTTTTCACGAAGGTTGACTCTTCAAACTAATCAGTGAGTGGCTGTGTTTGATATTTATTCTTTCGACTAGTATTCGGTGCCGGTTTTCCATAAGAATCCAGAAAATATTGCATTGGATTCAGTATTTTGGCAGTGGATTTAATACAGATTTGAAGCATTCATTTCTCCCAGAATTAAGACTTTCAGGAGTTATAGCTTGTAACAAGTTAAAGTCGGCCCTAATTAACGTAGAACATGATCTAACTAAAACTTTACTTATTTTAGACATATTCGAGTTAAAGTCCATCTTCTCCTAGAGCCAGCTGTAAAGCTCGACTGACAAAAGGCTATTACTAAATCTGTGAAATTTAAATATATTTCAATTCGAATTGATGCTGTTACTGCGCATTTAGGCCTGAAAATCCGTTGCGATACCGCTGTGGAGTACATCTCAACTTCTCAGATGTACGAACTATTTCGCGTGCCTTTCGAACAATGCGATACTACGACAGCCATGCAATCAATGAAGTGACATCCTAGAAGAGGTAGTGCTCAACAGACGCTTCCTCTCCTACGTCCCTGCAGCTACGTTAAAAATCATTGAAATAGTATCACATTCTCCTTCCGTGAAGTCCCATTATACAGTATCCAATTGAAGTTGGTTTTTTTTTTGAAAGCCAGCATTAGTTTGAGTTTTCCGTAGGCAAGTTAAGATGGATATGTAATTCTGATCCGGTGCATTCGCAGTTTCCCATTCTGTCCTGCCCGGTCTTCTTGGAGAGAAGACAATGTAAGAACAGTAAGAGGAGCTAGAAAACTGCACGGAAGACAACATTCAGGCGTAGTTCCAGAGCTTTTAATGGACGCGACGGTAGAGCTCCATTAATTCGAATAGCTGCTGACCGCTGGACACTAACAAGTCTGCTCCTGAAAGAGGTTTTTTTCGAGTGCTGGCAGCTTCCTTCTATGTTTAGGGCATTTTGGTGTAAATGACTTAAAATTTGCGAGTACTTGACTAGCGCTGTTAGGACAATATAGTCGTAGTATGTTACCATACCACAACCTGTGATATCTAGTTGCCAAAATGAGTGTGAGGCACCATGGTAAAAAAAGGGTACCTCGTGTAGTATATCTTGAGATATCGTCATTGTCCATTTAAGCGAAGATGATACTGTTCCTCAAGAGGGATTCCACAAACTTTACATTCGGCTGTGCAAGAACATCCTCGGGAGAAATATTTTTAATGGCTCCTTCAATGTGTAAGAAAATTCCAAGCATGCGCTCTTTCACAGCCAGTCCTTTCTCTATGCGTCCAACATTGTCGTGGAGTGTAGTGTCGACGGTCAGGCTAATGTGCTCAAAATCTTTTGGATTAACATGGTTGGATCTGCCTCCTTTTAAAATGAATATCCCCTTAACCTTGGTGGAGAATTTGAAAATTTCGCATCGGCTGCGGTATTCGCTAGTATGGGGGACAGGATGTACTCTACTGCCTGTATTTCTGCGTAAAAGATCCCGTCCAATCCCTCAGATTTATATGGTTGGAGTGATTTTAAAGCACATCCCACCCTTCTACGGTTGACTTATCATTAAGAATTTGCCACATTTCATCCAAATTAAATATCAATCAATCAATTGTTACTGCCCCTCAGGTAGGTTCTATCACAGTAGTACATAAAAAATCTTCTCAGATTTTACTTAGAGGCTTTGACAGCTACACTAGCAATAATTTCCCATAACTACAGAAGGAATAATCACAGCGTGTAACTAGCATATGTATGTGTCTGTGATTTAAGTGGTTACATGGGTTTTGAAGGCCAAAAAAAGCTTATTTTCTCTCATTTTTTCACACATAAAAGTACAATATGTGGACAACATTTGATAAAAATTTGAATGAAAAATAGTATAATTTAAGGCGTTGGCAGTGTCGTGAAGTGGACCGTCCACAAGAAAGTGCTTTCCCGGTAATCATGATAACTTTTTCAACTCTCATCTGAAATCGAAAATCAAAAATTTTTCTTAAAGAAGGTGAATTTCCTTTGTTCCTGAACATAGAGAAATTAAAAAAAAAATTAAAAATTGTATTTGTATTGTGTATTGTAAAATGAGTTGAAATCAAAGATAAAATAAATCCTTCATTCAGTGACTACAAAAACATGCTTAAAAGAAGTGTGGGCTCGATAAAGTGGTTTTACGAAAAACGCGTTTCACCATTTGTCTAGCCATGGCAAAGACGGCGGATTAAACTCTCTAATTTCTACAGTTTCGTCTCGATCGGCTTGAAACTTGGGGAAAATATTCCTGAAACTTTGTACTTTTATACAAAAAATAATAAAAAAAAAAAAATTAATTATTTGAAGTTTCAAAACCTATGTTACCCCTTAAATTATGAAATTAAAAAAATAGCAAAAGCTAAAATGATTATGATAATTATACTCGTAGTATGCACTTTAATCTTTTTAGTGACACTCTAATAAAGTGTGCTCTAAAACAGAACAATTGATATGACTCATATTTTAACGAAAAACAATTCAAATTGGATGCTAACGAACGAAGTAAGCAAAGCCTTTATATGTGTTTTCTACAACATTGTAAATTACATTGTTCATCCTCTGAATTATCAACGCGAATTACCCCATTCACATGGCACGCAATTAGGAAGTTCTCCGTTTCGCTGGTTTATTTGTTTCATTTAAAAACAAAGGGAAAGTGAAAAGTTTTGTTAAAAGTTTGTTAGATATTGAGTTGAATTGGTGATGTTAAAGCCAGCAAGTGGAATCCGCCAAAAAAAATCATTAAATCAACTCATTCAGTCAAAATTATACTATATTCCTCTACTTTAATTTCAAAAAGTTCAATATCCACGTGAACAATATAACTTCTTTAGTAATTTCTGGCTTTTTAATTTAAAAAAAGTTGAGCATTTTAGCATTTTCTTTTATTGGTTTTCATAATTTTTGGTTTGAAAGTAGTTCGCATGGTAATTGGGAACGTAATTCGCTTTCAAAAATTTGTATGGCGAGTTAAGTAATTCGGCATGTATTTCGAGTTCAAAATATTTGGTTGCCCAAAAAGTAATTGCGGATTTTTTAAAAGAAAGTAAATGCAATTTTAATAAAACTTAGAATGAACTTTAATCAAATATATAATTGCCATTTTGTTCGATAACCTTTTGCCATCTTCCTGGCAAATTTAGTATTCCACGCTCATAGAACTTCTGGCCTTTATCTGCAAAAAACTGAACCAAGTGCGATTTTATAGCCTCGTCATTGCCGAAAGTTTTACCATTTAAGGAGTTCTGCAAAGATCGAAATAAATGGTAGTCTGATGGTGCAAGGTCAGGGCTATATGGTGGATGCATCAAAAGTTCCCAGCCAAGCTCACTCAGTTTTTGGCGAGTGACCAAAGATGTGTGCGGTCAAGCGTTGTCCTGGTGGAATATGACACCTTTACGATTGACCAATTCTGGTCGCTTCTCCTTGATGGCTGTATTCAATTTGTCCAATTGTTGACAGTTAACATCCGAATTAATCGTTTGGTTTCTTGGAAGCAGCTCAAAATATACGACACCCTTCCAATCCCACCAAACAGTCAGCAGAACCTTCTTTTGGTGGATATCAGCCTTTGAAGTGGTTTGAGCTGGTTCACCATGCTTGGACCATGATCGTTTTCGACTAACGTTGTTGTACACAATCCATTTTTCATCTCCAGTTATGATTCGTTTTAAAAACGGATCGAATTCATTGCGTTTAAGGTGCATATCACAAGCGTTGATTCGGTGTGTTAAATGAATTTCTTTCAATACATGTGGTACCCAAATATCAAGCTTTTTCACCAGTCCAAGACTTTTTATGTGATAATGAACGGTTGATTTTGGTATATTTAACTTCTCTCCTATCTCACGCTCAGTTACATGACGATCCAACTCGATTAATACTTTGATTTGGTCATCATCAACTTCATTTGGTCGACCTGAACGTGGATCATCTTTAAGTGAAAAATCTCCAGAACGAAATTTGCGAAACCAATTTTGACACTGTCTTCCTTTTAAGGCTTCATCACCATACACATCTCGTAACTTTTTAGCAACCTGCTCCTCGTTTTTTCCTTTACGGAAATAATAAAGTAAAATATGACGAAAATGCTCCTTTGTGGGCTCCATATTAAAATTGACGCCAAACAAACAAATGTAAACAAAATTTCGCGCACTTTTTTTCTAAAGCAAGCTAAAAGTAACAGCTGATAACTGACAGAAGAAAGAATGCACTTACAGAGTCACAAGCCGTTGAAAAAATTTGTCAACGCCGACTATATGAAAAATCCGCAATTACTTTTTGGACAATCCAATAGTAAATTAGGCTTAATATAAAACTGTTTTATTTTTACTTTCGTAGAACTTGAATAAAGAAGTAACAGGTCTGGGCAAAATTCATGCTCGCCACTGTGACCTTAGCAGCGAGGAAAGCATTACAGCTGCCTTTCAATATGTAAACGAAACCTTTCCGCCCTTAACAATTCTCGTTTGCAATGCTGGGATGTTGAAAGCGAATTTCATTTCAGGTATAAATATATGTACATGTATATATGATTTTTTTTTCTCATTTATGTTACAAATACAATATAAAATATGTTTTACCTTTTTGCAACAGAATCCACCGGTAAAGATATAAAGGATTTATTCGATCTAAATGTGGTGGCCACTTCTATTTGCCTACGAGAAGGTTTGAAATTGATGCGCACTAATAAAAGCCAAGGTCACATCATTGTCATGAACAGGTAAACAGAGAGAAAGGCTAACGTTTGTGTGTGAAAGCACAAAAGAGAAAAGTGTTTGAAAATAATTTTTATGTAACCTTTATTAATTCCATGCACAAACGGTCAGTATTCTTGGTCATCGCATACCAGAAGTGCCGGTGCCATTATTTAGCGTTTATCCCGCAACGAAACATGCATTAACCGCACTCTGTCAAACAGTACGTCAGGAGATACATTTTCTCAAGTTAAACATTAAATTAACGGTAAGTCAATTGCAGCAACGCATCATTAAAAATTAAAATACTTGCGTACGCATAAAGCTCTTCCCCATTAAATTAATTTTATTTAAATTTTGAATCTTTAAAATTATTTTGAAGCAAAATATTCTCTTAACTGTATTTAATACAAGAATAGTAGTAGAGAGCGATGATTGTTGGAGTGGTACCACTCAATTTTTATATGACTTACATGCAATAAGAGAGCTATGACCGCGCTCTACACCTGCAAGATAGGGACTAAGACCGCATAAAGTTTAATGGCTAAAGATAGCATTAATGAGAACCATCTTAGGCAAAGCTACTAAAGGTGCAAGCCAAACAAAATTCAGCTGGCAGCCTCCTTGCTAATTACTATATTATTAAATAAGTTCCATATCCGTAAGACTAAATGCAATTCACGCCCAAATACTGAATTCTACACCATTATCGAAAGAGATGTACTACACCGTTGCTGTTTTCTGCTTCGGCAATACTTTCTCACAAAAATTCCCAGAGAGGAATGAGTGGTAAAACGTAACAATTCCAGATCAAAGATCCGTATCCATCTTCACTGACGGTTCAAAACTAGATTGCAGGGTGGACTGCGGAATTCACTCGGAACCGCTTGCAATCGGTAAAAATAAGAGACTTATCAACCCTCACAGCGTCTTTCAAACAGAATGAAATCTGCGTCATTGTTACTTAATTCCAATACAGTTTCTCAGAGTATCACAATATATTATATTCTGACAGCCTGGCAGCTGTCAGTCAGGTTGTTACTTTTATTACCAATTATTAAATGACTCCTTTTTTCTGCGTTTGCCGTTACCTTTCCGAGCACCTCGAGTGTAATAGCGGCGATTTCGGCACGAATGTTTGCCTTTATTGATGAGCTCAAATAGTTTGAGGCCCGGGGGGGCTAAACCGGGTGATCTCTCATATACAGCCCTTATGCCGATATGCACGTTGAGTTAACAAAATGGAACAACAGTTTGAAGCGATCCGTTGCAAAAATTGTACTGCATTGATGCAATCACTCGGTTGGGAACTTTCACATTTACCAACCGAGCGATTGCATCAATTCAGCGTTTACATACTGACATAAAGATGGAGCTCCTTGTATATATAACCACTGAAGCGATTTTCGGCTGAGTTCCTCTTCCAATTCGTGGTATTCGCCCTAATATTTTTCCAACAAATACAGTTTATACTAAGCTGCCCCAACCGGCTAATTGAGGAGTTTATTTCATGTCAGAAATGCATGCAGAGGGATTGACATTCCCTGTCGAGACGAGACCACAATCAGAAAAATTAACTTAATTTTTTTATTTAAATTAATTTTCCATAATATTTTTTTAATGTTCATCATCAGCAAGGTCCATAGCAGATGGCAGGGTGAAATCCCAAGAGATTTGACCGGGCAGATCTGGCCATTGATCGATACAAAACGAACTGAGTCTCTACTCCTTCTTAAAAGAACCGGCGTAACTACCGGAGTCTATTTCATGGTAACTCGTGTCATAGACATAGAAGATGAGAAGTCGGTGGAGAACAACTAATTTCTACTTTGACTGCTTTGCAGATATAGCATCAGCAAGTCTCAATAACTTCGTGTGGAGAGGAATATCGTCTATAAGCTTCCCATAATTATCACAATTAGTCAACAGGCCTAAGTGTTGCCTATCAAGGCTCCTTGTGATTGAGCAACCTAATTAACTGTTTAACTAATTACAACATCAGTCCAAATGTCCGTGATAATCCAATTCAAGAGAAACGTGCAAAAGGAAATCCCCTCATCCCCTCTAAATACCACGTTGTTTTCTTAGCAGTAGAAAAATTTACGATATGTGGTCATTACGACCCATAGCGGCATATTGCAGCGGTATAAATTTTTATAAAACATAAGTTACAACAATTGAAGCCTAACAATTATTCTAAAATATGGTTAAGTGCATTTCAAAGTAAACTAAATTATATTTATTCATATATTATTATACATATATATTATTTTTTATTATTTATATCGCTCCCTATTGATTTCGATTCAATTCAAACAAATCACATAAAAATTTGAACTATATGGGGTCGATTTTCAATTTGTCTTATTTATATAAAGGCAAAGTTTGCCGGGACCGCTAGCACTGGTATTTGTCGCATTTTCGCTGGATGAAGTCTTGAAAGTTCAAAAGGCGAGACAAGCATTGAAAAAATTAGTCCCGTAAAAGGGTAAACCATTTTTTCGAATTTTTTGAAATAAACAAAATTATCTCTCTACCCTGTAAAACAGAATGAGAAATTCGAACAAAAAGCAATTCCTATTCGAAATGTAAAAATTCAATTGTTTCGTTGCATTGCTTAAGCAAAAAGCCAGTCAAATTTTCAACGACGGAGTACAATTTTGACATTCAATTTGAAGCGATAGTTGCGAGTTCGTTTAGCCTGTAAGAATTAACAAGCAAGATATAATTTGTAATACAAGTTACTGGCTAATTCTTGCTGATTTTTTTTTCAACAAATAACAATATATTCGTTATTCCTGGAAAAATTGACAAATAGTTTTTGAACATGTTCGAGATTGGCATTGAAATTTGTGAAGAAAATAAAATGAAAAAAATAAAAGGGCGAATTTCGGGTGGGCTCAGCAATAAATTGAGGCGCTCACATTCATTTTGCGATTATAAATTATCCATAATTCGGTTTATTCCTAATAAAAATTTGTCATCAAAAATTCGCTCACGTTGTTGCCAATTTACTTTAACATAAGAAACAAGAAATTTACCTAAATTTCTGGTTTATTAAGCTTCATAGAAAAAACGAACTCAACTCGAAACCCGAAATTCAGGACATCGAATTAGCTGAATAATCGGATTCTAACATATTAGGTCAAGTAAAAAGTTCGTTCGGTTTTTATCTAAGAGATGGCGTTATTGTCCATAGTACTAGTGTTACTCGTAACTCAGTACGTTACGAGCGCTCGTCATAGATGGACACCAGCAAAGAGAAAATTCACTATATTTTACAATTTTTCTTCGATCAAGGCGAAAAAGCAGCCAAAGCGACTGAAAAATTAATTTAGTTTATGGGCCCCAAACTGTAAACGAGCGTGTAGCACAAAAGTGGTTTGCTAGGTTCCGTTCCGGTAATTTCGATGCCAAAGATGCACCACGCGTCGAAATCATGGAAATAGTGGAAATAGACCGTCACGTGAGCACTTATTTAATTGCTTGAGAACTAAAAATAAGCCAGAAAACCGTTTGAAACCATTTGCATAACTTTGGATTCAAAAAGAAGCTAGATGTTTGGGTGCCACACGAACTAACGCAAGAAACTTCATGGACCGAATTTCAATCTGATAATAGCTGATGATTGAACAAGATCGATCTGTTCTGAAGCGGATAGTGACTGGCGATGAAAAATGGGTTACTTTTAACAACATCGAGCGCAAACTGTCAGGGTCAAAACTCGGGTAAGCGGCCCAGACGGTGGCCAATATCGGATTGACGGCTAAAAAGGTTTTGCTGAGTGTTTGGTGGGATGGGCAAAGAATCATCTACTACGAGCTGCTCTCCTATGGCCAAACGCTCAATTAGGCTCTCTACTGCCAACAACTGGACCGCTTGAAGGCAGCACTCATCCAGAAGAAGCCATCTTTGATCAACAGAGGCCGAATTGTAATGCATCAGAGCAACGCCAGGCGCGACACGTCTTTGCTCCAGGAGCTCGGATGGAAGGTCCTAATGCACCCACCTTATAGTCCGGACCTGGCACCAAGTGATTACCATCTTTTCCAGTCCATGGCGAACGCGCTTAACGATGAGAAGTTGGCCTGAAGAGAGGCCTGTGAAAATTTACTCTCCGAGTTTTTGCCATTAGGGACGCAGCCTTCTAGTAAGTAACGGTTGAATCTATTTTCCACCGAGCAACTCTTCCAATTTGAGGTTTTGCGTCTTGATGCGTTTCCAACAAAATGGGGAGACCTACAGTTTATATTAAGCCATCTCTGTATGACCTATGTATTTTTATGAGGAGCTTTTGTTTTATGTCAGAAATACACTCGAAGGACTTGACATTCCCTGCCAAGGGGCAATTGCAATTTGTTTGTTAACGGAATCAGGACTTAAACTCTGGTCTTCTGAATGATAGTACGCAATGCCAACCACACGGCTTTAGTGGCCGCCCTGGATAAATTCCAATAAATTAAATACGATATGATTTCAGTATATTGTCTCTCCAATAAAATACGAGTTTGTTAAAAACTGAAGTAATTTATTGCTTGTTGGACACGAACATTTGAAAAAATCTTTTTGTATGTGTGATATGTGCCCATGATTTTGAAAGTGGTATAAGTCAAAAATTTTTAAAATCGACTTTATCAGCTATTATTTGTCAAATCTTAATAAATTAATATAATCTGAAGAAAGTAGCAGCATGCCATTAAAATTAAGTCATTAAAATGCGTTTATTTTTTTAGTTGTTAACTGAAATACAGATATTGTTGGTTTTGATAGTGGTATAAGTCAGTGTGTTCACAAAGTAATTTTATTACGTCTTCAGATAGTGGTTCAGGTAGGATGAAGTAAAACTTTTAATGTAAAAACCTACTATTTAAAGTTAATTGTAGACATTTTACGGCGAATAAATGGAAATAATGCTCCCAAGAAATGGAAACGAATAAGAATGATATCGTCTTCTGATGAATCAGATGCAGAACCCATACAAATGGAAGAGCGCAAAATGAAATCAAGAAAGAGGACACGCAATCCACAGAATTATGCACAAAATATAAGAAAAATGAAGAGAAATAGTGGAGAGGAATATGAAACAAAAAACTCTAAGCACGTGAGTGCTAAACTTTTCGGAAATAAAGATTGTCTTTATTAAAAAAAGTGTTTAAATGAAATCGGATACGAAGATAGGAAAGATAATTTTGATTATTTTTGGAAATTAGCAAATTTCGAAAAACGGAATCTGTTTCTGTGTGGTTTGATTACAAAACAATTAAAAAAACAAAAACGCCCCAGAAATCACAAAGGATATATGAGAAAATGGAGTCTTAAGTTTCATCTATATGTAAGTATAAGTTCGGAAGTTTCTGTTTGCAAAACATTTTTTTTGATACTTTCAAAATATCTAACGGAAGATTAAGCCGTGCTTTGAATTCTGAAACACCTGGAATGGATGATCATAAATTTATGGTATACGGCCATTCTTTCTTGCCAAATGATCGGGATTTTGGTTTGATAGAAGCTAAAATTAAAAAATCTAATTATTTATACGTCCCTGAGCATTATTATAATTTAATAGAATCATGTAAGATGAGAAACCCATTTTCGGTAGTACAAATGGATCAAAAAGATTTTATTTCTACAAAACAACTAAAAGAATCAACGAATAATAGAAAGAAAAACATCAATGGAGAAGCTGTGCCTTGGTTAAAAATACAATGGATCAGATTTCTAAAAAATGCCCCATATAAGATGTTTTATAAAACTTCGTTGAATGACAACTCCGAATTCAAAGTATTAGACCTCTCACCTAAAAAAGGAACACCTAGAATATACGGAAATATTTATTTACTTCCATTATACAAAACCATTAGACCAATAACAAAAGAAAAACGTAAAGATATGATGGATCTACTACCCTATATTCCACCAATTTTTCACAAACACTTTATTTACGTTGTCACAATGAAATGAGTTTGAATAAAACGTTAATTACTAATAAAATTGTTTCATTTTTGGTATAAGTCATTATAAAGTCATGAAGTTAATTTTGAAAGTGGGCCAAGTCATTTAAGCCTTTCAAAACCACATTTTCTTTTAAAAATGGCAATAAATTTCACAATCACAATAAGTACTTGTTTGTTGGGACTACTTTAATGTCGAAAAATCATAATCCATAATACAAGAATATTTTTTAATCCTTTAAAATACAAAACTCTAAATATCTCGAAACAAAAAAAATATGACTTATACCACTTTCAAAATCATGGGCACATATATTTTCAGTAAAAAATTTGGCAGACGACAATGAATATATGAAGAGTTTCCACTACAATTTGTGATGTACAAACATATATATACTATAACTTGCGGCTTAGCACCGAGTTCCTTTTCCGATTTGTGGTGTTCGTCTTGATGCTCTTCTGGCAGGGACCTGTATAAAAATAATTTTCTACAGTATGTCTTACGTCTTACGGACGGTCTGTGTCTATTCTTGTAACATTGAAGGTGGTATTTCATTAGTTTTATTGAATAAATAGTATAAGCTACGGTCGAATCCACAACTGTTATATTACAATACGACTTTCGAAAAGTACTGCTAATATATATTTCATCCATATGTAGAGCATCAGTCCTGGTATGGTGGATACAGATTTTTTGAGCGTTTATTCTCGTGCTGTTGCTGAGTTGCCAAAACTTCAGGCCAGCGATGTAGCAAAAGCCGTAATGTACGCATTGGAAACACCGGATTATGTTCAGGTATTTTAATAACAAATAAGTGATGTAATAATAACGGAAATTAATTTATATATAAATAATAAATTGTACTTTTGTTTCTTATCAAAATTTTTTTTATATTTTTTCAGGTGGAAGAAATCATTCTGCAAGCTATGAGACGCTTTGATATATAATACGCATCCACTTTCATTACAAATTTTTACCTTTACTTAATTAATAAAAAAAGATTGTTAATAAAAAATCATACACCTTACAGTCTTCAATTCAATTTCAACAATTTGACAATTCGACAATTTGACCTTTCCAGGAGCCATATTGTTGAATGCAAATAGAAAAATATTAATATTTAAGGGGGCACACCTGGTGTAATGGCCTAAAAAAAGGTGATTTTTCGATTTTTTATCAGATCAAAAATCGATAGGTCATTGTACGGAGAACTATGATATATATATAACATGCAAATTCGGAAAATGCTGTTTCGAGAAAAACGCGTTTAAAGATAAAATGATCGTTTTCACTGTGACTGTAATGAGACTCTCTAGCTGCCGAGCGGCTGCTCTTTAAATTAATATAACTCAAAAACTATGCAAGATATCGATTTGAAATTTTCATATGTTATTTTTAAATGTGTATTCTACCGAAATATGAAACAGATCGATTTTTTTGAAATTTCACACTAGGTGTTCCCCTTAATTCGTCCCTTTCCTCCCCAATCTTCATCGCTTGAGCTTAAATCAGCCAGCGCAAACGTTGTATTTCGATGACCCTAAGAATATCGACGTCATCGTAAAAGTCGTACAGTTCGCTGTTCAACTGAAGATTCTGCGACATATATTTTTCTCTCGAACACTCCAAACGCGTTTGCATCCGTTTGCAACGTAACCCCATATAAGAGAACTCAACTACACATTAGCTTACTGGAATATGGTATAATCGAAAAAGTGATGATGGGTCGAGCTGTTTTTTGTAGGTGCTTGGATTGGGCGTCATATGTAATTCAGTTCGATAGTTAATTTATCAAGTCTAAAGTTACACTGATATGGTCCAATCAATATGTTTTCAAACAGCTTTAGCCTTTCCCACAAAAAGCTATACCGGACCTTGTAGAAAATTGCAATAAGTCTGATTTTCCGGTAGTTGGCGCATATCGTCAATAGAGGACAAAGGTTACAGAGATTGCAATCATCGAGCATGCATTCCGCTAGCCATATTTTGCAGAGAAGCTGATACATGCACCCTATAAGCTCACCTCTGCCAGCCTTGAACAACTTAACAGGCAGTCCGTCAGCTCCGACTGCGTTTTTGTTCTTTATAAGCATATTTGCGACTTTTATTTCGCAATTTCTAAATGGCGGGGTGCACTGCGCATCTGTAATCAGATTACTGTTTTATTCTTGGTACTTTCATGATCTGGCTTCAAACCTTGGGTCGATGGTTGACCTGTTGGTGGAATTTTCAAAATCTTTTCTGTCTCGTAAAATCTCGAACTCACCACGCGCGCTCATTTCCTATTCTCGTCTTCTCCGCTTGAAAAGGTGTCTCTCACTGGCTTCTTCCCCCTGTAGTTTTCCCGCATGGCTGCAATTGCTTCGCGACAGTTTTCGTCTTACCATTGAATTCGGGACCCAAGCCCGGCGCACATTCGAAGTTTAAAGTTTTGGGAAAGACCATACATTTTAGATAAGACTATGGAAGATAAACGTAATAGTTATTCAAGGGCGTTACCAAATCAATTGTCAGGTGAACCGGATAAGTTTGCCCATGTGTCACTTTTATTGGGCTTAAAGCATTTTGAATTTTATTCTTCATTTAGATAAATTCTCTAGATTTTTTTTCTGCAAGATACCAAGAAACATCAATATTATCGTTGGCCCTGTTGGCGTTAAGTAATGAGACTGATTTCATTAAAACCGTATATTTCAAAATTATTCTACAACTCTGCCATTCCCTTCAAAATTAGTCCCTGTGGGCAGCTATACAAAGATTCCAGCGCGTTTCCCATGCTTCGTAACATTTGTGGAACGCTTCGACTGGGATGTCCGCGAGTACCTTCGTCACAGGCCGTCTGGATGACCTCAATCGACTCGAAATGGGTTCATTTGACCAGCGATTTTTTTCTACGGAAGAAAAAAAGGCAGAAGGTGATATATCGTGCGAATAAGACGGTTGTTGCAACACAGTGATTTTTTTAGAGGGCAAATACTGAAACACGCTGAGGGCGGTGTGGCACGACGCGTTGTCGTGATGAAGGTTCCAGTTACGAGCTATGTCTTCGCGCAGGCTGTTGACTCGTTTTCACAATATTTCGAGTACTTGGTGATAGTAGACTTGACTTACGCTTTACCCCGGTGGAAGAAATTCTTTATGGTCGATTCCACAGCTATCAACAAATTCAATAATCGACGTTTTCACCTTCGACTTGCTCAAGCGAGCTTTTTTCGCGCGGTGGCGTGCGGAGACAATCCATTTTGAGCTTTGGCGTTTGGGAGTCGTATTGAAAAAACCAGCTCAATTTTTACAATTTTAGCGTATGTTTCCGAAGCTGCATTGCCCAATTTGGCGCAAAATTTTGTCGCGACTCGTGATGATGCTCGAAATTTTTTTACACAAATACTTACAAATAATGAAATTAGGTCAGTACCTTGTCTTGGAAATGTGTTAATAGAAGACTTGGGTTAGTAGAAAACTTAACTACAATTTTATCAATTCTAAATCCAAATTTAAATTCAAGGTTTTTATCAAAATACCAACATTGATAATTTAATAGAAGTAATTACAAAAATATATATGACATGTGTTAGAATCGAAATCGCCGTTTTGAAATCGGTCGACTACAGCCACACGAATGGTAAATTTGTTAGGGCAAATCTTAGAAAAATGTAGGTGCACAGATTTTTTTTTTTTGACTGACATGTGTCAAGTGAAGGCTTACTTTTAGCAAACACTAACACAGAGAAAAATTTATCAGTTGTACAACTTTGCTTCCGCCGTTTTCCGATAGGTGGCTGTACCGGCTGAGGCTGGTTGAAATACATAGATGATAATGCCTTTAAAGTGATTGTGGACAGTGCCCAACGAATTGTCATCGCCGTTTCAGTGACAGTTGTTCTTGTTTTCGTATTATTCACGCTCGAAAATGTCCGTTTATGTGCCTAATTCTGGCCATTTGTGAAAAGTTTTACTTTTCTGTTACAATTCGAAAAAAAAAATGCAGCTGAAGCGCATCGAATGCTCTCAGAAACATACGGTGATGCTGCTCTGAGTGAAAGAACGTGTCGGAAGTGGTTTAAACGTTTTAAAAATGGCGCCAAGGTTATGATTTGCATTTGGTGGGATTAGCTCGGTGTGATTTACTACGAGCTCTTAAAACCCAGTGAAACCATCACAGGAGATCGCTACCGAACGCAACTGATGCGCCTTAGTCGCGCGCTATAAGAAAAGCGGCCACAATATCAAGAGCGACATGACAAAGCCATCCTCCACCACGAAAATGCTCGGCCTCACGTCGCAAAAGTGGTCAAAAAGTACCTGGAAACGCTGAAATGGGAAGTCTTCCCCCACCCACCGTATTCCCCAGATGTCGCCCCTTCTGACTTCCACCTATTCCGTTCGATGGCACACGGCCTGGCAGATCAATATTTTCAATCCTTCAAAGAGTTGGAAAAATGGATTGCTTCATGGATAGCGTCAAAAGAGGACTCCTTTTTTCGAGCCGGGACCCGAAAATTGCCGGAAAGATAGGAGAAAGTTGTCGCTAGCGAAGGACAATACTTTGAATAATATATCTGTAAGCACTTTTTCACAATAAAGCTTTTAATTTTGGAAAAAAACGGCGGAAACAAAGTTGTACACCTGATATAGTGAAGTGATTTTATTATTATAGCATAGTTAGCTAACTTTATGTAGTTTACTTACTATATTTTATATAAAAAAAAAACCACCTAAACTTAAATTAAATTATTTGCAATTTGGTTTCTTGTCTTTGCTGCATCGGTGCTTTTCATGATATGGAAATATTTTCCATTTGATCTCAAAAATACCTTCCTCAGCTTGGCTAGAAATTTCAGCTCAATAGCTATAAACGTAGGCTTCATTTGGGGCTTTATATCGTTAATTATATTTTCAAATTCATCTTAGTTATCCTGTTAAACGAAATGAAACAGCTTAAACGTTTAAATTTTATTAAATGTCAGTTGTTTGACTATCAGACGTTCCGAATTTAAGTTCGAACTTGGATAAAATCGAATGAATTTCCTCACATCTCAAATCCATTCGTTCGATTTGCATTTTCGGTATCGAAATGAAATCGCTCATAGCGATGACGATATATTGGCTAAATGTTGCTCATACAACATGGCGATTTTTTTTCAGGTTAGGAATTCTTAAATTTAAATTGAAGAAAAAATATTTTTTTACCTCTGAACTTCTGATATTGTGAACCTTTTTGCTGCTTTCATGAGCATGAGCATCAGCACATTTATAATTCAATCGAATTTTCTGGTCCTCAACATAACAAATGTGACATAGTACGGCGATGTGTTGATAGCAGAATGTGTGAGCCTACGCAAGGCACAGGTTGCATCTCTGACAAACGCTTTGGTTTTATTTAAAGAACTATCTTATGCCCTGCTAGACTGCTCGGTTCTACGCTTTCTGTATCATTGCCTTTGGGTGAATAAAATATTTATTTAGGAAACTACATGTCGGATGCAGAATATTATAAGTGGCGCCTGAACAGTTAATGGCCTAATATTATAATCATAAAAGGACTTGCCAATACCAAGAGCCTTTAATTAGACTGTATAAGAGTGAATCAAATCCACGTGTGTTGGTACTACCTTAAATCATTGGTTTTTATACCTAAAATATGTCATAAAATCAGTGAAGGTTATGTAGTAGGTTGGACCACTACTTGCTGGTGGAACGAACCGTCTTAAGATATTAGTATTGAGGAGCCTTTATTTCATGTCAGAAATAAAGAAATTTTTTATTTAGATTAATTTTCTATAACTTTCTGATAATGGTCATACCAGGAAGCAGAAAATTCAGCGAATGCATAGAAACGGACCCATGAAATCTATAAACAAACGCTGAAAAAGTCGTAATGAACATATTTATGTCATGTATGTTATAAATATATATCCTATCAATCACTCTTAACTCCTTCTTATTAGTCTCTGACGAAGTTTGGGCCAAAACGTTTTTTTACTCCATTTTTGTGATAAATATTAAAGCGAGTTCTTCGACATATTACTTGATTTTTGTGATCTTAAGGATACCTGCAAGTCATTCTGCGTTAGATTTTAATAAAAACTGATATAATTTTGATAAAACCAGCAACTATAAATGTATTGAAATCAGCAAGACTACCAAAAAACCTTTGGATTTTTCAATTTGAAAAGTTTTGAAAGTTCACGGGAAAACTAAATAATTTTTCGTAGATAAGATCTTTAAGATCTCTCCCAAATCTGTGATAGCGCTTATATACAAGGCTATTATTTTACTATTCCAGAGGTAAAATCAAATAGCAGAAGCCAACTTGTTCCAACCGCTTCACCCTTGATTACTTTATTTTAAATACGTACTTCTAATACCTTGTTGGGATCGACATTGGAAACACTATAAAAACTAGTTTCGTGGACTGTGGGCTAAAAAGTATTCACACACACTCTTGTTTTCGTTAACATATCTGACAATTATTCATTTATATAAGGAAATTGAAAAGAAAATGATAAGTTATTGCATTGAACAAGTTTTAAGCAAAATCCTATCTTACAGAAATTTGAGCTGGAAACTAAAATAATAAAGGCGTTAACATTAAGGTATCAATCCTGAATTGTTGGCATCAATTGCTCCAATGCACCTCAAGAGTGAAAAATAATGTTCATAAAAAAAAACTAAACACTATTTACTATTTACTATTTCATCTCAAACACAGGAGTTATGACGCTCAGCTAGACTTTTCAAATCGCTAGCTTGTGAATTTAAGATACTTCTCTTCCAACAGTTCTTGCAGGAGGATTGCATGCTTTCCGTGAACGCAGTCATAATCAGAAGATTATTCAATTAGATTGCGGTTCCATTTTAATTTTTTTAAATTCATACTCCTTGAATGTCGTGTACTTCGATAAAAATATCTAACAATCTAAAGCAGACATCATTTGGAATGAGTGGAACGTAAGTTTTCAAGTGGTTTTGATCGAGAGCTGATTTTCGCTGTGTTTTGGTTTGACTAAAGTTTTCACTCGCAAACCACTTTCTACCATGAAAACATGTATTTGATATCAAAGAAGTTATAAAAAGACGATAATTTTTGGCGACAAATATGTTAATTGACAAAATTTGCCTTCCACTTCTATAAAATGAATGGTATGAATGGTATGGCATGAATGAGGAGCATGAGTAATAGTTTTTCGTTTTATTTTCATATCGAAGAGCTATTTGCTGATGGCCACGAGCGCAAGGCCTCAGATTTAAAAGACTCGAAAAAAATTATATTGAATATTCACTTTCTGTTTTCAACTACAATAGAAGTAAATGGCTGGAGCAAAGGTTTGAAATATGCAGACAAAGCTCTTCACGTTCTTACAGATGTTTCTAAAATTAGCGAAAGAGTGAAGGCTTCAGTTTACTGCTCCTAGAGATAAGGAAGTTGTAATACAGCATCTTCCAAATCGAAATTTTTGCTATAAAAATGGTGGCAGAGCTACTGTAATGTGCTGGCTTTCAAAGAAAAAATACAAATCTATGTGGATAGTCAAGCGAACATGAAGGCCGCTCAGCTGTGTTCGCAATATGTAAACAAGCGATTCAAGTACTGTCTGAAAACAGAAGAGAGCATCGAGCCTTACAGTTCCATTCAAGGCTGTGAAGCAGAAGCAAAAAGTAGTACTAAGTGTATAACGTGTAATATTACATTCACAAAGTTTGTACCATGTGTAAACAGGCCGGACTCCAGACTGCTGATAGAACTACTAAAAGACATGGCTTTTTGGCGTCTCATGCGTTTAATATAGGTCTGAGTGGGGACAACAAATGTAGTAAATACAAGAAATGTGTGGATACAGTAGAACACGTAGTCTGTGAATGTTCGACATTCGGAAGACAAAGCCTCTGCTCACTTGGTGCAGTAAGGCTACAGGATCTTCAATCGGCAATGGTCAAGGCGCCAGAACGACTACTTAAGTTCTACTACTCAAGGGCACAATAGGTGTAGAAGTACAGCTTGGTCACAGAAAGTGTGTTTGGCAATACTACGAATGTATTATCGTCTATGCGAGACGCAACAGGTCAGTGAGCTGAACCTAACCTAACTCCGCAACATTACTCTATGAAGCCTCAATCTTGTCATCCTATCACGAATAATACTAAAAAGATGAAAGTTCATCCAGTCCAATATCGTCTTTAAGAGGGAACATTATAACATCCTCCAACTCTGTTAAATGTCTTAAATTTAGAATACTTGAAGAAAAGCTATTTTCACCAATAAATTTCGATCTATATAAAAGAATAAGTGCCGTATATTCACTTGGAACAAAGGCAACGCACCTGCCTTCTTTGTATAGCAGGCGCGATGAGAACTATCTGATAACATACAGAAAATTCTATCAGAACTCGGGCTAAAAGTGAAAGGCGACTGAGAAACGGAAATGTTCTGCCGGGTAGATGTCACCCACTCCTTCACTGGTAAGGAAGAATGAACCCGTGGGTTACGATTAAGATATCCATTTCCATACTGATGAGTCTAAATTTGAGACACGCACGGGAGCAGGGTTATTCTCTGACCACGTCAAAAACTAAACTAAGATTCAAACTTAGTGACTAGAACTTTTTATTCCAGAATGAAATTATTGGCATTACAATGGTTTGATGGGAAATTTAGTTTTATTCCACACAAAGTCCGAATTCGTTAAAACATTCAAAGAGTAAATTAACAGACTATGGCGAGAAAACACAGTAAATATCACTTGGGTCCCAGGTCAAACAGAAGTAAAAGGCAGAGAAGGTGGATCCCGCTAATGCCGCTGGCATAACTGTGACCATCGTCTTCTTTGGATTATTCAAAACCAGTTGTCCATAGAGAAACACTTAAGGTCTTGAAACTCTTCTAAAATGGGGCATACCATTAAATTATTGTGGGACCGCGTGGACAGTAGACAGACCAAACTTAGCATTCTTATTGTTATATTAACGGAGCACCTGCCCTTGATATAGTATCATTTCCATAAGCAAGGTAGTAAAATATTTTTTAATGCAAGATTGTGGGGAAATATAGTTCTATATGGTGAGTATTATGAACTACTTAAGTGCTTACAAAATATTTTTTTTTTCAAAAAATATTAAACTGTGGAACAGCGTTTTTAAATTTTTTTTTATTTTTTCTCATTTCTTCTAGTAGTTTCTGTTTGAACGTTCTCGATAACGAACTTTCGATACTCGCACTTTAGAATGAGCTTCAAATATCGGCCACTACTTCTCACGCCAAAGTCGTATTTAGATGTATAGAGAGTCTGCATACTTAGCTTATTACTTTGCTATAAACAGTGTATGTTTCCCTTGCATGCCCATCTCATGTGCCACCACCCTATGCAAAAGGAAATAAAACTATATACTTAACGACACATTTTTTTAAATGACATTTATGTTCCCATAAGCAACGTAAATGAAAAAGCAGGATAGAACTATATACGAAGTTGAAATGTAATTTCTTTGCTGTGGCTTTCGCAACGAAACAACGAAACAAAAGAAAAGTTTAACATTTTTGTTTTCTGCTCCGTTTTAGATAGAAAAGCAAGTTCAAAGTGAGCACGAGGAAAAAAGTATTGAATTGAATTTTTGCTTTGCTGTCGTGTCGTGTCGCTATCTTCGCTATTCTTTTTCCACTATCGTTGCCGTTGTCATCGCCTTCGTCTTTCTTTTATAGTGCAAAAGAAAACGCTGAAACACGGGAAAGGCGAAGATAAATTAAAAGTTTCCATTAATTCAGTGAAAATTTTTAATTTTATTGTACATTATTTATAAGGTAAGTATTTCCAAGAACACCATTTCCATTTGTTTTGTTTCAAAGTGAAATGCAAAATTAGTATTGGGCTGTGTTAATGAAAGTTATCTATTGATATGATTTGCTACTCCTTGATTGGTCGCACCTAGTTAACCACTTCTTTATTGAGTTTAAAGAGCATCTTTTGGAATAATTCGGGTGCGTATTATTTATTTAGAAGGTAAAAGGCGACAACTATTAGAAAATCTTTTGCGAATTGATGACGAAACGAATTGTAATGTTAATATGAAAGAAAGTTTTTACGCACCGAAATATGTGATTCGACCTTGTGCTACTGTTGAAAGTTGCTTCTGCAGCAGATACTTCCGCTCTTCACTGTCAATATTAAGATCATTTTCTATAGTTAATATTTTAAAGGAAATACAATGAAATTATTTGATATAAAAGACATCTATCTATGAAAAACACGTACATTCCTGTTTACATACCAACCAATAAGTGCCTTGGATTACATATGAATGTGCATATGTTTTGCATAAATTCTACTTGCTCAATTGTTCATATAATGTAATATTTATGAAAAATTGTGTTAAGTCATGGTACTTATGTAAATATATCAGCATTTTTTCCATGCATATTGAATAATATTTATTATACTTTTTTGTTTATTTCCAGATTAATACAAGTAATTTTTTCTTACTTCTCACTCTACAAACCAATAACTAGAAAAATGTTTATTTGGGATTGGTTCACTGGTGTTTTAGGATACTTGGGTAAATATGTTTATTAGCATTATGTATAGGCTAATGAAATTTGACTTTTTGCCAATTTTACGCAAAATTGAGAGTATATTGGGTGTTTTTTCAAATACTTATGTGTTATTATGCGCTAAATTCATCTTTAATTTATAATAGATACAAATTTGTTATGAAATATGTATGTATGAATTTAAGTATATCATTTTTTTTTTTTGCGTTAGTTAAATTCCTTGGCAATGTTTACAACGATGAATTTTTATTAATCAACACAGATGACACCTATTTCATTTCTCTGACCTTATGTCCTAATAAAATAAAATTTTGTTTTCATTGTGTAATCTCTTTTCTCCATTATGAAAATAAAAAGAAAATTAACTTATATGCTTATTTCTTTTCATAGGTCTATGGAAAAAATCCGGCAAACTGCTTTTCCTAGGCTTGGACAACGCTGGCAAAACCACGTTATTGCACATGCTCAAAGATGATAAGCTGGCACAACATGTACCAACTCTCCATCCCAGTAAATATGAATTATAAGCTTTGCAGAAGCAATATTTTAATTCTTCTTTATATGTTCTGTAACATTATATAGCGTCAGAAGAATTGTCAATTGGTAATATGCGCTTCACCACATTCGATTTGGGAGGTCACACTCAAGGTAAGAAGCATTTTTTTTTAATTAATCATTTTTAAATATTCAATATTCTTTTACTTACATTCAATCATAATTTTCCGACCATCGTGACAGTAATATTTTTAACACATAAGTCGACATCACAATGAATTTGCTAGTTTTGAATTTTCTTATAAAAGCTTTAAGTGGTAGTCACTTGATTGCTTGAAAATTGATAAGAGATAACTTACGGTATAAAAAAAAGAACGAGGTAGAGGGAAAAGTTTTTGCTAAATAAATAAATTCTACATTTTTATATGGGAATTTTGAGTAGCAATGCAATGTGTTCTGCAATTATATTTAGTATTTATTTTATATACAATTTTTTTTTTTTATCAGCACAACTCAAAAGCTAAATGTTGTATTATTTTAGGGTTTGTCCTAATTGTATTAGTTTATATATATGAAAGCTTAATAAATGTATACTTTTTAGTACTTTTCTAATCATGGCTTATATTTTTGTATATTTGTCCTTATATAGCACGCCGGGTTTGGAAGGACTATTTTCCTGCGGTGGATGCAATTGTTTTTTTAATAGATGCTTGGGACCGTGGTCGCTTTCAGGAGAGTAAAATCGAATTAGACTCATTGTTAACAGATGAAGCGCTCTCGAACTGTCCCGTGTTAATTTTGGGCAACAAAATTGATAAACCCGGTGCGGCAAGTGAAGACGAACTCCGAAATGTGTTTGGTCTTTATCAGCTGACAACAGGAAAGGTAATTATTACTATTTCTTTAGCACTATAATTATACATATGTATATATTTAATATTTTAAATTCATTATTTTAGGGTAAAGTGCAACGTTCAGAGCTACCAGGACGTCCACTAGAGTTATTCATGTCTTCTGTACTGAAGCGGCAAGGCTATGGCGAAGGTTTCCGTTGGCTTGCACAGTACATCGATTAAAAACAATTTTTCCATTTCAAATTAAAGTCGGGTACGAGTTTTGTCATCTTTATATTTACGGAATTTTCGGCAAATTAGTCAATAAAATTGGAATTTCAAATGAGGCATACGCAATAAATACGCCATAATATCTATATTTTAGTACTGGAATTTGAGAAATTCTTTCAATCAGTATCCTGCGGTTAATTTAAAAGCAAAGCCCAGCCTCAGCGGAAACAGGGAACAAAAGTATGAAACAAAATATAAAAACATTTTTGCACATCAAGGGTAGTATATGCATACATTGATTTTATTTTAAAGGATATTACGGCAGATATTCAAACACTTCAATATCATTTCCAAACCTAAGTTAGTTGCGACTTGTCTAATTTTTGTTTAAAATTTCAAAATAAACAATTTTATAAAAATCTACAAATCTTTTTTTGTGTATTTTTTTTTTTTTTTTTTTTGTGGAAAACACAAATGGTATGAAAATATTTCTATATAAACTTAACTACGGAGTATTAGTTTAACTTCTATCATGTTCAAAAAGAATTGTGTGGTAATTCCATCATTCTGGAGTATTTCTGAAAACTGAAACCACTTTAATATTTTTGCCCAAATGGTTAGTTTACTAAGAACAATTACAGTTATTACAAAGTAAAACGTAATAAGTAGAGTCCGAAAAAATAATATTATACAAAGCCCGGCTCATAAGCATCGAGGGAAAGTTCAATATTTTCGTTTGTCTGCAAGTAAATCATAATGAATTGAAAACACTTATTTATTAATTGATGTTTTTTTATTTTTTTTAGTGCAATGTGATTTTAATTTTTAAACTGGAACCGCTGCATATTTAACTGTTACTACTTTAAGCGCTCTACATATATATCTAAATATTGTATAATAACTATGATTACAGGTTTTACTTATCATACTGAACATTTTTAGAATTATTATCAATTACTTAAGTATATTTAGCTAAAATGAAGTATAGGATCATCCGGTTTATTATAACGGAAAAGTTCCATGTCTTTAATTACAAATGTTAACTCTTGCAATGGAGTAGCAACCGCAAACGCACCCGCAGCAATCTTGTCAGGAATTTCTCTCCAAAACTCGTCCCCTCTCCTTTATTTATCGTACTACTCGTATCCATCATCGTACTATCCTCACTGCCACACAGCCTACATCAAGAATTAGTTCCCACTGCACCACCCAAACGACGCTTTTTCTTCTTCTTTGCCGTTAAACTTTCTTGACCACTGTCTGTATTGGAGCTGCAACTATCACTGCCATCACCTTCATTTTCTGACGATGAAGAGGAACTTGATGACGAACTGGAATTACTAGAGCTATCCGAAGCAAAGCCAGTACTTTGGTCTATGTTAATACTCTCCGCAAGTTTTGCTAGATCGGGCTCCTTTTCATGAAGAACACGTAACCATTTTCGTGACAATTTAGGTCTGCCTCGTATAGTCTTGTGCCAAACAATTGGAAAATTAGTCCGACTGCAAAAGTTTTGTGTGATGGCTATTGTGTCATCTAAATTAAGCACAACGTGCCACCATCCCCCTGGTACAAATACTGTTTCTCCGGGTTTTTGTAATATCTCAAGAGGGCGCAAATCTGCCGGCCAATCAGCTTGTTGAGTACGTGGATAAATTGTACTGAACCAAGTTATTGCTTCATCACGTTGCTTTCCTCCCATTGCATTAGGCACTTTTAGTAGCTCTTTAGGTGTTTGAGTTGGAAATAGGCACCATCTTTTATGGCCTCGAAGTAAAGCATTCCAAGCACTTGTTCCTAAAGGATCGATATGTATACCAGTACCAGAACGTGCTGGACCCATTACAAACCACCGATATGGAGGACGTCGTTCTTCCCCGCAATGTTTGAATAAGTCATCTCGGAAATACTTCGGTACCGTATAATCCTCCAGCAGTTTGCGTCGGCGGTGATGTTCCCCAAAACTACTATCAAATATATATAGGGGACTATCATCAAGTGTTGATCGCATATATTCCACATAGTACTTCATTTTCATTTTGACACTATAACCCTCATTATCTTCTCCACATTTAAACTTTTGGTTTCGATATTTTTTCGCTAAACGTGGAAGTGTCCATTTTTCTACGGCCTGCCATTCGTTTTGGGATCCTTCAATAACCACAGGAAGATAAGGTTTTTCGTAACGATTTATAAATTCCTCGCAACTAACTTCATCTTCTTTGATACGTTCAACGTTATCCTCAAATTTATTTTTAAAGTCATCAAACCGCTGATAATATCGCAAAGCAGACCATGCCTCCTTGTCCCCCAATTCTGGACGCGCCCTTCGCTTCACTTCTCGAAGACGTTTTCTAGAACGTTTAGGCAGGTTGATTTCTTCATTCATTCTGTTCTTTTGAGGTCAATGCAATTTTTCTCTTTTTAAGATATACTTGAATTAACTTCGTATTCAATATAGCTCAGCGATAAAATGAAATAATAGCTTTTGCCGCTGTTTATTGGACTGATGTGAAAAATTTGACATCTGTTGGTTAATTTCCGTGAGTACGTGACTTTTCGCAGCATTGCCGTATCGTCGTTAAAGGCGCCTACAGCAAATAAAACTGAGATATTTCAGTTTGCATAAATTTTACAGTTATAAACAGAGATGTTCAATTATCCGTATATAATTTTTATTTTGTTCATAAATAGCTCTGGAATAAATGTCAGTAAGAACTTTCCTAAAAAAAAATCAGAGATTACTCTGCCATGGAGAGAAACTCACTAAGTTTTTACAGAACAGGACTCAGTAAACTTAGCTAGTAAGTTTTACAACAGCTGTTTTTTTTACGTAGACATTTCAGTCCGTTGATTTAAGAAATTTATTTTACCGTATATATATTAAATAAAAATTTTTATTACATTTTAGACAAATTAATTTTATTTAAAATTTATTATATTTTAACTATGGGAAAGTTCTACATACTTTATACACGTAAACAATAAAGATACCAACAGGCCTATTCTGTCGATGTAACAAAATTTACCTAGGTATTAAAATTTACTATTCAGTAATTTTGTTAACATTTCGTATTCTGAGCTCACTGTTGCCTTGTATATTTTGTTACCAGCGAAATAGGAGGTAACAAAAATTTCTGCTGATTGATTTTGTATTGTTAGTTTCAGAAAAAATAAAAATCAAAATGGGTAGACATATTTTAGGACTGGAATTCATTAAAGATGAAGAAAAAAGTGCAAGATAACGTTTTGATTCAGCTTTTTTTGTTGTTCAGGCATATTTTCCATAATTAGGTTAACATATTTATGCTTGAATAAACAAATTAAGAAAACTTTTTAATTTTTTTCTTTTTACTTTATCAACTGGCAAATGCAATTTGACATGGACGAAAAAAGCAGTGCTGCCAAATTTTTTTCAAACATTGTAACCAGTTCGCCAGAATACCAAATTCAATTTCGGGTGTTAAAGAAAAGTAACAAAATTTACTTTACTGGTAACAGTGAGAATAGGCCTGTAAGGGTGATTAACAGTAGTGACCGAAGCAACCACTTTACTTCCTAATGTTTTGCGGCTCATTTGGCCGACATTGCTTTCTGATAATTTAATTAAATCCGAAATCAGCTAAAATTATACACAAAAAAAATTGAGTAGGTATGAATAATTTTACGCATTCTACATTATTTATTTCTAACTCCTCAATGTAGGTTGTTGGCGGGCGTTGATTTCACTCCTATTTTAAATAATTGTTGCTTGGTTGACAAATAGTCAACCATATGATGACATTTCAGCTGTCTTTAATACTTGCTAGTTTTTACTGGTTGAAATTTTCCCAGCACAAATTTGTTGTCATGAATTCGAAATTATGCTCTTCGCCTAATATCAAAGTGATTTTTAATTATTACTCTCACAAACTCTTACGTGTTCTCACTTTTAAATTAAATATTGTTTGGACGCCAACTTCCCTTCTACTACTTTAATAATTTTAAATAACTTATATTCAGTAATAAAAAGAGGCAAATTTAATAACAAATGTAAAATGATCCTAAATAGAGTTAAGCAACCCTGTTGCTTTAAATGACAATTCTCATGTGACAAGAAAAATGTTGGGCCAATTGGGACGAGGTTGGTTATCAAAATTGTTTAATTTTTGTATTGTAATAAAATAGTATTTTTCAGACTTATTAAACGTAGAGCATCGTATTTTGGATCACCGTCCATTTGTAAATGGAGAAATAAATCATTTTCTGAATGAGTTTGAATTGAAACGTAACGAAATTGAAGTGGAAACTCTTTTCAAAGTCACAGAAACTGTAGGTGACCTCAAGTACGATTTATTGGAACGTTGCCTTTCCTTGAGTACAACACATTTAAAGGAACTGGGACAAGAAGTGGATAATTTGTTTCTTGGAATTGAACAATTCCTTTCCAAAGCACAATTGCCAAAAGAGGTTAGTAAATAATTTCATAATATAGTCAATCCACCAATAATATTTATTTTGAAGCAAAGTGAAACGCTTACAAAATCTCGTGAAAATCGTGTGTTAAAACGAGATAGTTTCCTCCTTGATTTGAATCACAGATACGATCGAGTAAAGAATTCATTTGAGGAAAAGGAAGAAGAAATTGACGAGCTGTATTCCGATTTACAAGTTAAATTGAATATTCCAAAATAAACAACAGTTTCAGAATGTCTAAGATTAGTATTACCGATAGCCGAGTTCGAATGCAGCCATCTATTCAATTATTCAAACTTATTGAACAGCATAAGGACAGCATTACGGAAATTCCAGAAAATTTATCGAAAGTATTAAAAGCTAATGGCATAGATATCTCAAATAAAATTGAACTGATAAAGACAACAGAAATTGCTTCGAAAGAATGTATTGATTTAAAACTTCTCCGAGACATCGAAAAGGACCTACGAACAGAAGTAATGGCGACCGAACTTCCTAAAACGATAAACAGTACAGATGACAGTAACATCGAAGCAACAAAAGCTCTATACATTTCTGATTTGAGATGGCTTAAGAAGTGGCTGGCACACCTACGAGAAGAGAAAGGATTAGACCTATTTCTTCACAATTTCATAGAGCAATTCTCTTTGGAATTACCAAGAAATGAGGTTATGGAGAGAAATCCCGAGCTTGAAGCTCGTTGTCAGCGCTTGCGAGAACAGCAACAAAATAAAGAATACCTTAACATGACGAAAAATATTGATTCAACACTAAAATATGCTCCGGAAGACACAATCGCTTATCAAGGTATGTCTCAAACTAATTCAAAAAGCAAGAATTAATTATATATATATTTTTTTTTCAGTTAAAGCTATGAATAGTCAAATGATCGCGGTATTACAATTTATATTTTCGGTAGCAGCCGGTTTTGTATTCGGTTTCTTAGGTTTAGAACTCATTTTTGGAGGTATTGAATTTGGTTTGCGATTGGTTTTAGGAATATTTTGTGCACTTGTGATCGGTGTTGCCGAAATGTACTTCCTTCTCAAAAAACTGAACGAAGAAGAAAAAGCAATTTCAGCACTCAATAAAACTACCGAACCAGTAAAGAGAAATGAAAAAGTTCTAAAGTCGCATATTGAATAATCTGAGTAATTTTGTTATTTATCGATGTTAATGCACATTTTTACGTTTAAAGTTTATCGTACATACTATTAAAAATATACACACATTCATATGTCATAAACATCAAATTTTTACTTCATAAGTAATTAATTAAATGCGTATTTTTCTTATTAAACATTGAACCGGATTCGATACCTTAAATTTCACTTGTATAGTAAATCAACTGTAACCAAACTTCATGGACTTCGCCGATAATATCTTCAGCTCTTTTCCTTTCTCATAGATCTAAGCCACTGCGAAGTTTCGACTACATACGTCAGACATCTCAATGTGGGAGAAACATATGTTATCCTGTAATCTTTCTTCTGGTTCAACCAATCTTTAGGCAACTATATATAAATTGTATACATACTGATATTCATTCAGTAACCATGTTTTGTTGAGAAATACTCCACTTAAAACTTTACTGCTAGTCTCATTCAAATCATCTGAACCCTACAACACATTAGCTTGGCTTCCATAAAGTGATTATAGTGTGAAGTATATATGTTGTAATTATAAAATTAATGCAACTTCGTTGTCGAGATATTTTCCTATTCCCTAAAATACGTTCAAACCGATCCAAGCACATGAACTATATAAATATAGTACTCTATCAATTTTATTAATTTATATATGATCAACAAATATGTTTTTGTGATAATCTAATATTTCTTTCCTCGACTGTGAAAGTCAATTAGCACCCGGTACTGAAAAATAGGATCCACAATTATAATCCACTTTGGGATAAAACGTCAAACCAATTTTGCAAAATTTGACAGCATATTTATTCCCCCAAGACGAATTTTATCTTCAACTCCTACTAATAGGTTTTTCGGAAAAAATATTTCTGAAATATATTTTTCCTTTGTGGGCAATACCTTAACGTATATTTATAGAAATGGCGAGCATTGCAACGAAAGGATCCACTTTGGTCAACAGTATGTCATTAAAGCTTTAAAGTAATCTAATACTAAGTTATGTTATATAATATTACAGGGCTTTTAGTTCAAGCAAAGCCACAACTTGAAGTGTTCCTTAAATACGCAAAAGTGGAGCTTACACCACCAACCCCAGGAGATATTCCAGCAATTCGTCAAGGAATCGGTCGCCTCATTACTGGAGCCCGTACAGGTGCATATAAAAACCTGACTGTTAAAGAGGCATGGTTAAACACGCTCGTCACTGCAGAGGTTATATTTTGGTTTTATATTGGTGAATGTATCGGCAAGCGTCATTTAGTAGGTTACGACGTCTAAAAATTTAAATATCCAATTGAGATACGATACATATGGTCAGCAGTTAGGAGCAATAATGTAGCACCTTATTCGAAATAAAAAAACACTCTGCCATCTTGGTTGGTATACGAATGTGTTTCTCTTTTATCTCTTTCGCAGCTCCTGGTATGTTTAGAACGGGAAAAATCGGATTAAGAATTGCATCTACGTTTCAATAAAATGTATTTTGAGGGCTTGTAGATTTGCGTGCATAAAAAAATTAAGGAATACTTGCATTTGCAGTGCTGTTATTATAATCTGTCTGACCTCAGTTAAAAATTGTTTTAGAAAATTAATTTATTGTTGGTGTTGAATCTGCAAAAGAATTGCTCAAGGTGTTTTTTGGGGTACGTTGTGGAAGCGATCTTGACCGCGTTGATCCCACATAAAGGCTCAAATTTTGGAAGAACTATTGGTTTTTAGTCTCCTCTTATGACAGACAATACCTACCACAGGTAAATTCTTGATCCTTAACCTGCAGGAGAAAAGTCTATCAATCTTCCAGCACACCAAGAACAATCTACTCGTCTAACTAGCTATTTTATATACCTCCCAGCCGTACCACCCGACTGAAAGAATATGCAGTTAAAAGTTATGGCATGCTAACTTTTAAACAAAGCAATAATTTGCCTTAACTTCATTCATTTTGAACGTAACGCCTTTACTTTAACGCTTCAAATTTCCTTGGAATGAAATGTATTCCAAATACACAAATGCCACTCTTGATATTTACCTTAATCCCTTTCATTAATGAATTAGGTAAGTTTATGCCATTATAGAAATAAGTTCTTCAGTTCAATTTATACTCTAAGGGAAAGAACGGAAGGAGAAATTCAAAAATTCATCGAATTGACTAGAAGCAACCAGCAAGCACAACGAAATTGAATGCTTCAATTATTGGGCGAAATACGAAATCTCAATACGCGACAACACAATGTGGATCACGGGACGATAGTCCAAAAATACAACAGACAAGAGACCAAGCAAGAAAGCTTAAGGCGTAAAAAATATTAAAGAAATTTGTTCTTGGTGCATTAGGATTTTTTCCTAAAATCGTAACTCGAATTTCATTAGCCGTCTTGTGGAGATTCTTTTTTAACTCGTGGATAATCACCTCATCCTCCCGAAGAGACGTTTTCCGACCTCTCTCTTTTTTCTTGGAACTTGTTTTGTTGTTATATTCTTGTTGAAATACTTAAAAGTATTAAAAGAAAAACGTTTGGCTATATATATGTCCAATCCTTGGTCATCTGTACTATAACAGCCCTAGCGTCCTCACTACAAGATTTGCTCTTATTTTTTTACTAAATTATTTAATAAAAATAAATTTAAAAAAAATATAAAGAAATATTTATCTAAACACAACTAATTTACTAGAAATCTTGAACGCATTGCTTATTATATGCACGACCGTTTTACACACTTTAAAAAAAAACGTTAACTGTTTCAAAACAAAGGAATTTCTTCAAAAATTTTTCACAGCTAAATCTGAACATAGTTTCATAGAACAGAATTTTAAATAAAATTTCATTTTTACGTAAAAGAGTCATGTAATCTGTCGCTATAGTCGTTGTTAATTGGTTGCACGCAATTGTATATACAAATATATGTGTTCAAATGATAAAAATAATAAAAACAATATGTTGGAAGGAAATGATTGGCCTGAGCTCGAGGCCCACCACCTCAGACTTTTTCCCACAATTTTTATTTTTTATGAATTTCTTATTAATTTAAATTTTTTTCAATAATCATACATAATTTTGAAGAATCACATTGTTTGGTCATCTAAACATGCATTTTATATTTACACACATAAAAGCTCAATACTGCACTCTATACAAGTTGAGCATTTCCTTCTTGCAAATTGAGTGCGATATTGCCTTTTTGCCAGTTCCATATTGGGTTGCGTCTTCAATTTCGACTGGTTGCCATTGGGTCTTGTATGTGCTAGGCGATCGGACGTGACTTAACATTTGCGCCTTCTTACTATATTAACATTCTCTTATATTAACATCAGAGAAAGTATTTGCGTTCTCTGTGCTGGCGGCCTGTGGTGAAATGCATTCACCACAAATTGGCATCTTTTGACAGTTTACATAGGCAGAGAACGTATATTCTACGTTCTCTGACACAGGGAACGTAAATACAACGAGACAGCAGAGAAAGTATTTACGTTCTCTGTTTTCTCGTTTAATTTACGTTCTCTGCATCGCGTGGATGTTTTATTTATTAAAACATAGCAGAAAACGTCTAAATTTTGGTTGCGCAATTCAGTGAAAACATAGTCATAAATATACCCAATTTGCCGGAATTTTACAATGTAAGTTAGTGGATTAGCTTCATAAAGATAATTTAATATCAATGTGAAGATGTTATCGTTACTAAAATTAGTATACATATATGCTTGTAGTAATAATAGCAGATAATATTATTATAATGAGCAAAGCATTCCTTGAAATCAACTTGATATACGACAGTTTATTATGTCAAATTGAACTTCATTGTTTCAATTTATGAATGTGAGAGTGAATTTCATATAACAATGATCGGAAAGAAGTTTGATAATAGTAGTATGTATTCATATATATGTATGTAAGCTAGGTATCACCTTATTTATTTACATATCGTTGAAGCAACTCGGCCTGACCTTCAAGCTTCTATTTCATGCTAGAAATACGCTTGGTAGTTAACATTCACTGCAGGGAACGACGGCAATTAGAAAAAGTGGGTGGAGCACTTAAGGACCTGCAACGTCTCCTCTGTGGCAACCAAACTCTGGGCTCCAGTCAAGTCGTTGTCTAACCCGACGCGACGTGATGAACGGGTGGAAATTTGTTTCGGTGTTCGCGCCTCGTCGGACCCGAAGAGATGCGCGAGCTATTTTAGCCGACTTTTTACACTGCATCCTTCGGCAAACTGCTAAGCACTAGCGCGGCGCTTGATTTCTCAACAGAGGAGACTCAATGGGTCATCGGGAAGGGGAAAGCCTCCAAATCCATCGCCCCAGACAGAATAAGCATGCTGATGCTCACATCACAACTTGGACCAGCGGGAGCAGAATTTCTCACGAAGGTTCTCAATTTGTCTTTGACCACCTTATGATACCTGACCGGTGAGACCGGGGAATGCAGCCAACAAAGAAGAGACTTACTTATCTGTGTCCAGCAGCACATCAGGATGGCTTCCGAAAATTGCACAGGACCACAACAGCACTAAATGCCATAAATAGCCAGATAGTCAATAGCCTTAACCAAAACCGACCCTGCGCTCGACTTAGATTAATCAAACCTAAACCTAAACCTAAGCAGGGTTAGCGAACCGCTACAGTAACAACAACAACGGCAGTTAGAAAAATTAAGTATATACTTACATATATTCCTTTTCGAGATTCTGATATATTATCATTTATCAAAGCCCACTATTTTTTTTTGATTAAGTAAGCGCAGTTGTGGGGCCGTGCTTTTTTAGAAAACCATGCTGATGTGCTTCTGGACTCTAATGTGAAAAACGGAAGCAGGAAGTCTTTAACTGAGAAAGGAGAGGTATTGACCGGTATAATTCTTCCCCGATGGCTGGTTTCGAAGACTTGAGTAGCGAGACCTCTCTTTCCTCAAACTTGTTTAAACTATAATTGATATACATAATGCGTACATTTGTATGTACATTTAAATTTTTTCTTTAAACACTATTCATATGTACAGAGTATGTCTGTACGTATAGCCTTATCAATAAGTATAATTTTGAAATTCTACCGCAAGTTTTGCTTATATATACATATGACCACTTTTCCTTTCTTACAGATGCACCCTGTCCAACGAATAATTTATGCTTTTGGGCATCGTACTTTCTCTCACTTACTACCGAAAAAACATTTGGCCTGTTCCGTCATGTCTACTCCGTCCGATGCGCGAAATATGTCTTCATTCGTTATAGCTACTGAATCATCCGATAAAGGTATGATAATCCTTAATCGACCAAAAGCATTGAATGCGCTTAATTTGGAAATGGTGAGAAAAGTCTACAAACATTTGAAGAAATGCGAATTATCCAAATCAATGGTAATTATTAAAGGAGCTGGAGAGAAAGCTTTTTGTGCTGGTGGTGACGTGCGTGCAATTGTCGAGGCAGGTCCTACTGAAGATTCAAAGGCATTCTTTCGGGAAGAATATACCTTAAATGCCCTGATCGGCAATTACATTATACCTTATGTTGCTATTATCGATGGTATTACAATGGGTGGAGGAGTAGGACTCTCTGTACATGGGAAATATCGTGTGGCAACAGAGCGCACACTATTCGCAATGCCAGAAACGGCTATTGGCCTCTTTCCAGATGTAGGCGGCTCATATTTTCTGCCACGATTACAAGGGAAACTGGGACTATTTCTGGGATTAACAGGATTTCGTTTAAAAGGGGAGGATTTATTAAAAGCAGGAATAGCAACACATTACTGTGAGAGCGCGAAATTGGAGGATCTTCAAAATGATCTACTTAATTGTAAGGATGCGGATACGGTTCAAGAAATTCTGGAGAAATATAACACACCCACGAAAAAGGAATTTGTACTAAATGAGGTTATGGATAAAATAAATACATGCTTTACAGCCGACTCTGTCGAGGAAATCTTTGAAAATTTGAAGAAAGATGGAAGCGATTGGGCTAATAAAACTCTGGAGGTAAATAAAATCGAATAGCAAACAAAAGTGAGGGTTGCAAGTATTAAATATCTTTTAAATGTAAGTGGCTACGAAATAAGGTTAAACTCGAAATAGTTTGAAATTTCTTTGAATCTGCTGATTTTGCATGCTGCACACACCCTGTGAAGAATAACAATTTTGCAGCTCTAGTTAAGGGTTAAAAAATATAAAAACGTAGAGTAAGCTTGTGTCCTGAGTTAGACTACTCTTTAGTGAAGCTAAAAAGATAAAGTGCCTCTAACTTTAAGTGAATTATAGTTAGTTTAGCGCCATTAGCAAGAGCCTACTTCAAATAAAAGTCTATTGTTATCATTGGGTGATTTAACGTTTATTTATAAATGCTTTTCTTTAATTATTTAGATATCCTCTTTGATACTGCAAAATGGAAAAGTTATATAGTTTTAACATCTGAAGCCACAAAAAGCATTGTATTGCTATAATACTTTTTTTTGCCAAAAAAGGTGATACCAGTCGCCTTCTTATTCCTAAACACTTAATAAATATTTCCAATTTATTGTTGTCACACCATTATGCTCGACGGTCTTATGTAAAACATTTGAATTAACATACTATATTATCTACCGATAATAATGTATAATATTTTCTTTATTTCTTTAACAGACGCTTAACAAAGTTTCACCATTATCGCTAAAAGTAACATTTCGACAGCTTAACTTGGGTTCACAGTTGTTACTGCCGCAGTGCTTGAAAATGGAATATCGTATGGTTGTTCGCCATTTGGAAGATAGTGACTTTAAAGAGGGTGTACGAGCTTTACTTATCGACAAAGATCAGAAACCTAAATGGAATCCTCCCACCTTGGAATCGGTTACTCAAGAACGTGTTGACTCGTTCTTCCAAAAACTTCCTGACACAGAGGAATTGAAGGTATAACATCGCCTATTACAATTTGTAACAATAAACTAGCGTTTTATATTCGTAAAATATAAAAAAATTGAAAATAACTAATTATACTTAATATTTGAGAACAACAGTTGTATTCTCTTGGAACCAACCTACAAAGAACATTATATTTATAAATAAGGGATTCGAGTTTTGCATATTAAACATTATTCTACTTGATAATATTAAAACTGCTTTAAAATGAATTAAAATGAATAAATTAAAATATTAAAATTGAGCAAGAAGCAGGTGCAGAATGTTTGCATACCTGGGAAATTTTAAAACGTTTCATTATGACGTTCTTTATGGGTCGGGCACCAAAGAATACGGCTAATGTCATGCTTTACACATACATACATACATTCGTAAACCTCGACAACAAAAGTATATACAAAGTAAAGAATGCATTTATTTATAGATTAGGATTTTGTACATTTTATAAAAATTTTGTAATGCAATGCGTACAAATAGTATAAAAAAATCTGTTTATTATTGGACAACATAGACACAGTCACTGCAAGTTTTGATTAATATATTAAGACAATATTCCAAAAGTGTCAATTGAAAGAGTTCTTTTACTGATAAAAATGGTTAAAAAATTTGTAGTTTAAGTAATAAATTGTTATTGTTCGAATATTTCTGTAAAATAAAGAAATAAAAAAATAAAATTATGGATGTGTTACTTGTTATGACATTATTATATGATATTTTGTATTTTGCACCTTAGAACCTGTCGCACTACATATTTGTTGAATATCAAAATTGCAGCCGTTTTTCGCTTGCGATTTTTATGCAAAATGTTGTATTCTAACGTATTTTTTTTTTTTGATAATTGATCAAACTCAAGCGTCGTAGAAAGAAAAATGAACTTGGGGGTAAAAAAGGAAAACTATAAGGCCGAAAAATCACTTAAGCGGTTACAAAGCGGCAATATAATAATATATATATATATATATATACGAGGTGTGCTCAAGAAATATCGTGAATTTTGTGTTTTTTCAAAAATTATTTATTTATTAATGAACATCTATTTTGTCCCCTTCAAAGTAATCCCCATGAGATATTATACACTTGTGCCAACGGTTTTTCCAATCTTCGAAACACTTCAAAAAATCATTTTTTTTTTATCTTGTTCAGCTCCTCCTTCGATGCCGTCTTTATCTCGTCAATCGTAGCGTAACGTCGTCCTTTCATGGGCCTCTTCAGTTTAGGGAATAAGAAAAAGTCACAGAGGACCAGATCTGGGGAATACGGAAGCTGCGGCATCATTAGTGTGTTGTTTTTGGCCAAAAAGTCGCGCACAAGCAACTATGTGTGATCAGGATCGTTATCGTGGTGCAAAAGCCAATTTTTGTTCTTCCAGAAATCCGGGCGTTTCTGGCGGATTGCTTCGCCCAAATTGCGTATAACTTGCAGGTAATATTCCTTATTGACCGTTCTACCTTGGTAAGTGAACATTCAAAATGACCGAGCTTGTCGGCATAAGTGACAGACATGAGGACCAACATAACGCCACAAAAAAATCGAAATTCGATTATACGTAACCCGCGAAAATTCAAAATTCGCGATACTTTTTGAACACACCTCGTATACTCTGATATAAGAGTATGTAGATTATCAGATAACAAGTTTTGCAATTTAAAAGCGCCACACAGTGGTCGGCGTTGAATTGGGAGAGCCGCCTTAAATACTTTCAATCGCAGTAGAGGCTTGAAACTTTGCAGAAACTTACTTTTCTTTTAATAATCATAAAAGGCTATGTAAAAATCAACCAGATCGTACTACTATATCATATATATATAGCCGACATAGAACGATCAGTCTGAAATCAAGCGTTTGTATGGAAATTTGTTATATATATATTTGTAATATATATATATATATATATATATATATATGGGGACACAAATTGGTGATTTATTGAAGAATAAAAATTAAAAAAAAAAAAATAACAATTACTACGTTTCTACAGCTTCTTCAGAAAGCTCTCCACTCGACACTAAACAACATTTTATATACTTATGAACTGATAGTGGAAGGTAGTACCATGCATAATTATCAATCAGACTTTTTGCGACTTTTAAGGGATTTATATTGTACCCTGATGACAACTTTTGTGTATAACCAGTTCCTTGTCCAGGCCCGTTTGCGCTTTAAACATTTTTTTCTTGCTTCCTCAAAACGTATTTGCCAAATTTTTAAATTCACGCGGTACAAGACGTGGATAAAGTACACTAAAAATAGTATATATCAGAGATGCTCAACAAACGCAACTTTGTCATTGCGTTTCGTTAACAAGAAAAATTAACTATTGGTATATATTAAATGATATACCGTTTCGGTTCGGAACTTTGTTATGAAAGGAAAATGAAATCGTTAACGTTAAAACCGCCGAAACTCATCATTAGTTAATGTTAATTTCAAAATGGCGGCTTGCTATGATTTAACAGCCCAAATCAATTTTAATCTTTAACATTACGGGAGAAAACGAAAAAAAATTTGTTGATAACTGCCTCAACGTTAATATTTCCAATGTTTCCAACAATTTTTGATTAATTTGAAATTTAACGTTACAATGCCGTTTTGGTATATATAAATGTAACGGAGACACACCAAATTCATGTTGTTCTTCATTAACTTTTCTAAGAAGGCATTCCTCCAAATTATTCATCTACGTTGAGTTTGCTTCACAAATTTAAAGGATTGCATATTTTGCCATCGACCATAGTCAACATCGATTTTCAGAATTCCTGTAACAAATATTGTGTTTGAAGCTCATCAATTTTAATTGGAAACTATTCCTCTTCCTAAATGGACAGTGCAGTAGTTTCCTTTTGAATTGATATCTGATAGGTCTGTAGTATAGGTACATACGTTCAGGTACGATACGAAATCAAACAAATTATCACCCATCAGATATTCATCTGAGACCCTCTGCTTATATTCAGCATGCCTAGTGCTAGTATAGGATCCTCGCTTTCCTATTAAAATTAGGTTATTCACTGAATCAGCATCAATTTAACGCTTGGTAGTAAATCGAAACCTGCTTTCAAATTGACGAATGAATTGATGCTTTGTTAAATCGATTTCGGCCAAAAGTGATAAAACTTCTTCCACATTTGTCTTGTAACGTATAATCTCGGCAATTTTTTTTTTTTTTTTTTTTTGCAGTGCAGTTGTCCTATATCTTAATAGATGGAATAGGAAAAACATTAAACACAAAACAAACAGTACACAAAACATGTTAAATTATTTGAAATTACATAAAAGAGATTTAATCAATCGAATTAACTTCACAAACAGTTTATTAAAGTAAATATTTTCAAATTTTTTGATAACTTTAGTCGTAGTATGACGACCATTCTTACATTGTTTTTTTTTCGGAAAAATACAATGGCTTCACAATTAAGCTTGACAAAAATCACATATTCGCCACTTTAATTCTATTCTTTCCGCTAGGTTTTCAGAAAACCCCGTGTTTAATTGCAAAACTTGAACATTTTATAGCTAATTTGGCTGTTTTTTTGTGGTCTGAAACCTTGACAATTTTTATTTTTTTATTATAGCGTAGGGGCGCAACCATTGATGGCCGATTGGCAATTTCGAAGAGTTGCTTAAGTTGTATTCCATTTCAGATTTGAAGACTATTGTCGACTCCAATTTTTTGACATATGCCAAGTAAAAATTACGCCAATAATAAAAATGGAAAGCTTCAATAATGCATTGAAATTATTGATGAGTGCATAAGTTCGTGCCCGATTTCAAATGCAAACTAAAATTGAAATTTTTTGAAGAAAGCGCTTTTATTAATCAATTATGTATTCGCCATCATGTTCGGCAATGCACTCCCAACGTTCAACCAATTTACCGATGCCTGATTCATAGAAATCGCGCGGTTTCTCGTTGAAAAAGGTGTCGAGGTGTCTTCCACATTTTCAAATTTTTTTCCATTCAAATTGTTCTGCAGCGATCGAAGCAAATGATAATCAGAAGGTGCAATGTCGGGCGAATATGGGGGATGCGGATTGATTTCCCAATTCATCTCCTTCGGTTTGGCCAGGGTCGGTTTTGCAACATGTGGCCTGGCGTTGTCATGATGGAAAAGAACTCCTTTGCGATTGGCCAAAATCGGACGTTTTTCATCAATTGCTTTCTTCAATTCGACCAATTGCTGACAATACTTGTTGGCAGTGATCGTTTCTCCAGCTGGCAAGAGCTCAAAATAGATCACGCCTCGGATATCCCACCAAATGCACAGCAGTACCTTCATCGGATGCAATCCACCTTTCGACATCGGTTCCGCCCCTTCGTGTGCCTGTTTCCATGTTCTTTTGCGTTGAACATTGTTGTACAGGATCCATTTTTCATCACCAGTCACGAGCCGATCCAAAAAAGGTTCGTTTTTGATCCGTCGAAGCAAAGAAATTGCTGTTGACATACGGTCCACTTTGTTTTTTTCACTCAACTGATGTGGCACCCATGTATCGAGCTTCAAAGTGTACCCAACCTTTTTTAAACGACGAAACGCAGTTGATTTGTTGACGTTCAATTCACTGGCAACCTCTTCCGTCGAAATACGTGAGTTATTCGCAACTAAAGTCCTTAGAACATCGTCATCAAGCTCAGAAGGCCGTCCACTGCGAGGTTGATCTTCGAGGTTAAAATCTCCAGAACGAAATTTCGCGAACCATTTCTTTACTGTGCGGAGTGCTGGAGCACGGTCCAAATAAACTTCGCGAATATCTTTAGTTGCAGCGCCTACTGTTTTTCCTTTGCGGAATTCGTATAACATAATATGACGCATATGATCTTTTTCGTTGTCCATCTTCCATGCGTCTTTTCACTAAGCAACTCAAATCAAAATGAAGTTATTTTATGCTTGATTTACAGTTCGGACTGTCACCTTTCCAACGATATATAATATGTATATATTTCTTTCACGAGCGCCACTCTCAAACGATTCGAACGGCATCCAGCGGAATCGGGCACGAACTTATGCACTCATCCAATATTAAAATTTTGGGTTCTGAAAACCCTAGATTTATTGTTGAAAAGCCTCTCCATCCTCACCGTGTAACTGTTTGGTGCAGTTTATGGTACGGCGGGGACATTGGATTGCACTATTGAGAGATAATTAATGATTTATTGATCCATATAACGATTACTTTCAACAAGACGGCGCAACGTAGCACACAAGCAACGAAACCATCGATCTTTCCATGTTTCCTTAAATATCAAAATAACACCTCTTATTGGAGACCATACATTTCATTTTATTTAAGAATTTTTTGCTTTATATACAGAACCCTGAAATGAACTGAGTGCTATTAATTTTTTTTTTAAATTTCTGTTGTGGAATACATACAAAATTTTAAATAAAAAATACATATTTATTTTACTGTATCCATTTCTTCTAAACTTCTAAAACGAATAGAATATGTCTCGAATACTATTTTAAAAAAGTGATTATATTTTTATTGATTTTATTTAAGTATCAATAGTTTTTGCCTTCTAGCTTTGTTGTGCATCAGTTTCACACATTCCAAATTTTTTCCTTTCGATTCGATCTTAACTCGGAATACCAAAGTACGATTCTTGCGGATTGGAATACGGAACGTAATCGAAATAAAGAATAATGCTAAAAGAAAAACTATCAACTCTTCAAAAGAGCGTGACGATGTTAAAATTACATCAAGCAACAGCCGTTATTACACCTTATCATTATTCCACCATGACATGGTAGATCAATTTCAATCAAATCTTTGCGTCGTAAAAGTACCTTGCTTATAAGTTCCACATATTATGATTATTATTGTCTATTCGTTTTCGTTGTTTTCCTTCATTTTCGTGCTAGTTTCTACGATACTATTTAATGCTAACAAATCCTCAACTTGAGATGGCATTAAGCCCAATTTCGCTAGTTCTCCTGTCCATGCAATAACATCAACATGAAGTTGTAATCGTATTTTATCATCATCGGATACCGTTGTTGTGCCCGTTGTAACGACAGGTGCACTTCCAGATTTAAGATTGCGCAAACGTCTTAATGATTCCTCCGTTTTCTGCACTGATGTGAGAACGTCTTTAACAGCAGCGCAGTAACTAAAATGTATCATACACAATGTATTAAATATAATACTAATATTAAAAATATTTCAATTAAAAATTCATATTTTTTTTAAATAATTGCGTGAAATCGTTTGAATGCGTTGTGTTAAATATAGCATGCTACAAAAAGTCATTATCTCATGAGAGCATTCTAAAAATGCACATTTTATATAACATTTTCCAAAAGGGCGACTTAGATGAAGAGATTACCTTTTGGATTTCTGGAGAATTTTTCGTAATTTTTTGCTAATAAAGAGACTTGTAATTATATTTGGCACAACAACAATATTTTGCTTAATTTAAATATTAACTAAGTGAGTAAGGAGCTGTTCAAACGTCCGTCATTTGGCTTTATATTTAATTATTAATATCATTGTAAGACCAAAGACTGACAACACCACCGATGGATCGGGCATGGGCGAAAAGTAGTAGGTTCTTGTGATATTATAGCATTATATTCCAGCACAATGAAATTCAACATACTTCCCATCGTTTCCGGATCAAAAAGCTTGATGACCCTGGTTGCATCGACGACATGTATAATCCAAGATACTCCAGGCTGGTTTAGGAAGCGAGGAGAATGGGTCTGGTAGTAAACCCGAACAAGACGAAATATTTCCTGTTATCAAAAAACATTTAGCCCAATCGCGTCGCTGTTGGCAATCATAAATTTGATGTCATATATAATTTCGTATATTTAAAGAACTAGAATTAACACCAACAACAATATCAGCCGTGGAACCAATACAGAATCAATCTCACTTCAAAAATTTCCGATGCAGTACCCGCCAGTTAAAGCTCTTTTCACTAGAAAATTCATGAATAACGTGCAATTATCACTGAGAACTACCCCAGTGTCTCGAATAATGATCTGCTGTGGAAGAGAGAAACGGGCCAGTAGCTAGAAATATCTCACAGATTTAAAATTATGTGATCAGTGGTGAGATTCACGATATTCGAGTAGTTAAATTAACTAAGCGAAAAGAAATTTTAGCTCATACAGGGCTCAATTATTTACAATTTAATTAGAACGACAAGTCTTATGCGGTGGAATCGTTTGAACTGAGTGATAGTCATCAAATATTTGTTCATGTCCACGCAAGCTCTGCAAGGCAATCGAAAGAAAAATTAACGAGAAAACGATTATCTGCCACACTGAGGGCTGGACACTGGAAGAGATAATATTCCACCGACCATACACTTGCGCAAAAAGTTATTAGAGATACAGCTCAAGAAGGAGTAAACACCTAATTCTCTTTTCTTCGTGGCCAGATTTGTCTGCTCACATTGCATCAATCATCTGTTTTTGGCCCTTCTAGTAGAAGCGATTCTTAACATTCGCTTTGCGTGGTAATACCTCTTCTACGCCATGGGTAGAGTTTACCGTAGTTAGAAATTTTCACTTTTAGCGAGATCGTCGGGTCCGCTGTGCCGTATGGGTGTCTCTATGACCAGGGATCCAAACAACGGACGTTTCGCATGTAGTCGAGAGTTCGTTTAAGATTTCTCTGCATCTTATTGCCACCTTTAAGGTAGTGTGATTGCATTTGAAAGACGTAATAGAATACTAGCTGTCAGAAAATATTTTAATAGGTTTCTATCGTTCTAGGTATTTCACCACAGTAGAAAGAGTGATCCCATGCCCATTAGTAAAAGCAGCGTATAGACTGTGAGACACTAAATAAATAACTCCACCCTCAGGGATGGCTCTATTGGCATATCTAAGAGAAGAATCTGAAGATTCCCTACCTGAGCCCTGACATCAGACGTGATTATACCGGGTTAGACATTGTTAAACCAAGCTTGTCGTAGCAGCACAGAGAGAAGTAGCAGATACGGTTCACCAGACTGCAGGCACCCATCCTCCAAGCGATCTGTTATCAGAATAGAGTGCGTAAGCCCACCGTCCGACAGAGATCTGTAAAGTGACCAGAGGGCACACCACTGTCGAGTTTGCATGCTCAAGCGTTGCGTGTCTTGGACTTCCGCGTAAACAAGAGTCAAACAGCAGCCACCACCAGAAAAAGTATTCATAGGCATTGCCTGACGAGGAGAAGGCCTCACGAGATGATGAATACATACGCCCTACGCACAGCTCAACTATCTTCATCCCTTGAAATGTGGATAGGGTCAAGTGTATGCTCTAGGCTTTTTACAAACCCATAGCGTAGGCTGCATTCGACTTACTGGGAGGTACTGGAAAAAAGATGCCTTCTGACTGTGAATATGAGTCGAACAATAGTTTGACGAAGTACAGCTTCATACTGAATATCAGGTTTGGAAGTATCCTCGCCTAACAATGCAAGTCCAACACACCAGGGTTAACTCAGATTCTACCCGGACAGGGACTATAACACTTTCCGTGAGCTAATCCCGTTTAAGTAATCAGGCCATTCTATATATTATACATTTTCCTTTCCGCTTAGACTACTGTATCTATGTATGTTCATGCATACATAACTTGAAATAGGTACATATATATTTACTTACTCTTTGGTTATCGCCGAGGAAACTTTCAATAAAATTTCAGTTACAACTTTTTTATCAAGTTGAAAGCTCTGTTCACTTTGGAATGATTTCAATGATCGTATCATTTGATCAATATACGGAGATGATTTTGTTGGTGTATCGCGATTTGTTTTCCTATATAATCGTGGCAATTCTTTTACTTGACGAACACTTTCTTTACCGCTCTCCGCTATTAAAATATTGACAAGTGCATTCTCTACAGCAGACAAATGACTTTTAAATGTGTCTTCTATGTCTTTGAAAGATTTATCAATAACATCGCCAACACTGGTTACGGTTTGGAGCTCATTTGGTAAGTTTGCATTTATAATTTTCTGTAGTTGAGGCATTATTTCTATAAGTTTTAGTATATCTCCATATAGTGCAATTAATATATCGGTTTTGTTGATTTGAGAGGGTATTTGGGATGGGTGCTTCGTATTTTGATTAGTAGTGAGGTATATTACATCGGATATCCATCGGGAAAGGCGTAGAAATATTTGTACGTTTAACTTATAAAATTTCTCAAATATTTCGACAAGGTATACACCTTCTTTCCAGCATTGTTCTATAGCTTTGATTGCACTATTAAATGGATCTAACTGATATCGAGTATCTACAAGTTTAGAATTTTTTAGACCGCTATGTAGAACTGGTTCCAATGAATTTTCAAACTCTCCGGCTATCTCCTGCGATTTAAAATAATATATTATAGTATATGATATATGAATGTTAAAAATTTGTTTCTTACCTGAAAACAAATCTGAAAATATACGGGCAGATTCCATCGGGATTGAAAACTTTTTGTTTGTTTATGTTCTCTGAAAAGTTTTACTGCGTCTGCATTATCCAGAAGCTCTTCAATCTTTGATATAAAATCTCGAGTGCATTTATATTTTATATAAAAACTATCAGAATTTCCGGGTGCGAAAATTGACGACATATGTGTTTCTAAACGCATTTCTACATCAGCCCAAAAACTATTTACCAAAAAGTTAAAACCACTAAGCTTATCCGTATAGTGTGTCAAACGTAATAAATCGGTCATATGGAGCGATATAAAATTTAAAATTTTTCCATATATTCCTGATAGTCCTTGAGGAGAATTTTGTAAGCAATATTCCGAAATATTAGCATTCATATAAGGGGCAACAATATCTTCGCGAAACACTTGCTCTGCTATTTGACAAGAATCAAGTGTTATGTAAATTCTTAGACATCTTTCTAATAATTCAGAACAAGTACTATTTGAAGTTTTTAGTGCATCTTTCATTAATATTCTTAATTTAGCTAATACTTCATTTTGCAATATTTCGCAAGTTTTCTTTTGTTCATCATTAAGAATATCCAAACAAAATTGTTGATTAAATTGTAACTGTATTAGTTCTAACGCTGCACGCTCTAAGTCAACTGGTTTGATGTTTTCTTTTAATTGGTTCTCCAATAGTTTTCCCAGTTTATTGATTGTTTCATCTACCTTTTGGTAACATCGCAAATTACGCTTCTGAATGCGAAATTGTTGTTTCTTATCCAAATGTTGGCGTACCCCGAAAGTACATTCGTTAAGAAGTGATCTGATATTATCAATTTCTTTACGAAATTGTAGCAATGGATTTTCTATATTTGCAATAGATTGATCTAATCCCACCAAGTTGGCTGACAAACTAACGAAGTCAGCATAATCTTCATTAATAAGATCGATCATAGATGCGCGCAAATCTTTTAGATATATCCCTAAATCGTCTCGTAATTGTTCTAAGCTTGGAGCATTGCGATTTTTATGTAAAAACTTATCCACTGAGAAGTTTTTCTAAAAACAAATAACATGATTAAGAACCCTTACATGAATGCTTACAAGTGAAACAGCACAAACCTTCATGAAATCATATTTATCAAAGCATAGAGATGAAGAGTTTAATTTCTTTTCCGTATTCAGTAGAACCATTGCGTCTGAAGCCAAATATGGATTACACTCTTTCATTATTCGGTTTTCGAATCTAATTTTCTATTAGAATTGATCAACGAATTATTTTTACAATTATAAACATAAGCGAACGACGTTGCCACGACGGTTTCCAGAGAGGCGAATTCAACAAAGCGAATTCGTAAAGGTGGTTGCAAGCTAAATTTAATGTTTAATAATTTCCAAGCTTTCTATTGAAAATGAGTTTATTAACTTTTTACAATCTATATCTTCCCAAGCACTAGAGTGTTTGTTTCTTTTTCGCTGACATAATAGACAACTTTTGTTCGGTCCTAAACAAAATATACCTGTCCTTTTGTGTTACGTAATTTAGTTTAAGAGAACCATAAAATGATAAATTTTTTGATAATTCTTACCAGTTAGTTTTGCTCTTCCCAGATATTTAGCTCTGTCCTTAAAAAATAAGTTTACATACAGGCCTATTCTATCGAGGTAATAAAATTTACCTAGATATTAAAATTTACCATTCAGTAAATTTTGTTTCACTTCGTATTCTGACCTCACTGTTACCCTGTCAATTTTGTTACCAGAGAAATAGAAGGTACCAAAAATATCTGCTGTTTGATTTTGTGTTAGAAGTTTGAGAAAAAATAAAAATCAAAATTGGTAGGCATATATTAAGCCCGTAATTCATTTAAGATGAAGAAAAAAGTGAAAAAGCCGTTTTTTAAGACTGAAAAATAGCCCTTTAATTTGTAAGATAACGTTTTCATTCAGCTTTATTTGGTGTCCAGACATATTTTCCATAATTAAGTTCAAATATTTATGATTTAATAAACAAATTAATAGAACTTTTTATATATTTTTGTGCACCGTGTTCCATTTCGATGTGAATATTTTTCTTTTACTTTATCAACTGGCAAATATAGTTTGACATGGTCGAAAAAAGCAGTACTGCCAAATATTTTTCAAACATTGTAACCAGTTCGCCAGATACCAAATTCAATTTCGGGTGTTAAAGAAAAGTAACAAAATTTACTTCACAGGTAACAATGAGAATAGGCCTAATATTATTTTAAGGCAAATTTCTGTTAATCGATAATAGCTCGATAAATAAGTCGACTAGGAAATCCAAAGTTATCAAATTCAATAAATTGATTTGTAAACAAATATCCGATTAAAACCTTCTGTAACTCCTATCAGCAACCTTTTCAAGGAACGAAAGTTTTGTTGATAACTTAATACGTGGAAATAAAAATTTTAAGATCCTTCTGAAAATGTCACAAGGCTCTTGTTCTCGGCATAACAACCGACGCAATCAGCCAAAGCAAAAAAATGTTGAAAGGTCGAATTCCACCGACGAACAGAATCCCGTTGTAAAAGCGTTCCAGGAATATGCGCGAGAGTTGGACAGCAAACATGATCGCTACGAAAGGATAGTGAAGCTTAGCCGTGACATTACCATTGAAGCCAAACGAATAATTTTTCTATTACACACTATAGACGGTAGAAAAGATAATCGAACCAAGGTTTTGGAAGAAGCGGAGCAACGCCTTAATAAAGTAATTGAATTCAATTTTAAGTCTGTTGCCCAAGAGCTAATTGGACAGGATCCATATCAGTACCGTTGTGCATATTCACCTGGTCTACAGGAATTCATCGAAGCTTACAGTTTCATGGAGTATTTCAAATTTGGCAATGAGGGAACAGATGCTTTATCTGATTGGAATATGTTACAAGATAAAATGGTGTATGAAAATAGTGGAAAAGAAATTTCAGAAGAGACTGATTTTTCGCAAAAATCTGTTGACGATACTAGTAACGACAAAATCGAAAGTGCTCCCATGGATAAAGACAGTATGTAGTATTGGAAATGAAATATATTTAAAACCGAATTAATTGCTCTATAAATGTTTTTCTGGTTTAAAGACATAAACAATTTTAAATTTCTTGTCGACCCAACTGAATATATACTGGGAGTAGCAGATCTGACCGGAGAATTGATGAGACGCTGTATAAACTCACTAGGAAGCGGGGAAACAGTTGTTTGTTTGGAGACTTGCAAAGTTTTGCAGCAGTTTTATACTGGGTATTTTTATATATTTACTACAATTTCTAAATTCTAATTTTCTTTTCTTTTAGCTATGTAAGTCTTAATGTGCAACGCTGCAGAGAATTGTCACGAAAAATTTATACAATGCGACAAAGTCTTTTAAAAACGGAAAATGTTTGCTACAATGTAAAAGTGCGAGGTGGAGAAGCGGCTAAATGGGGAGCTGTATTTGAAAATAAAATTAGCGATGATCTCGATGAAGGCTTCTATTAAGTTTAAAAACCGTTTAAATATTTCGGTAATAACAATAAAAGAAACGTATATATATTAAAAATTGCTGCACTATTCAATTAACTTTCTAAGAAAACGTTTCTACTCCAAGCAACAATACTCGGCCTTCATCGCTCTAACCAAATTTGGTATTGAGAAATACACAGCACGACTAGCCATTCGGACTTCAACTGTTTAGTTTTGTGTTGATTCATTCATGATTATATTATTGCTAGTGCTACCATTAGTAATGTTTATAAATACATATGTATGCTTTCACAAAATAACATAAATTTTAAGGTACATCAGTTATCGCCCAATTTTCTATGTGCTTAGACTTAATAAAAGAATTTACAGCTAATAAACCCATCAATGCTTTTCATTCCTCGGCCCTATCACAAGCATCATAATCATCATCATCATCATCTTCGTCATTGCTATTCGGCTCATAATCCGAATCCAATTCGTCGTCATTAATAAATGGATCCTCAAAATCATAATCGTCTTCGAGTTCAGAAGAATCCCTCGAGTGTTGTAGTTGTCGACGTCGGCGCTGCCTTAGCCGATTTTTGTAATTTTTTTCGAAGTCAGCTTGAGGAAGAAACCAAAGTCGAGTAAAAAACGAAAGTTGTTAATCTAAATTTAAATTGTTTTTTAGAAAATTTAACTTAAATTATAAAAATCAAATTATTACTTTCTGGTGGGTGATTGAACTCGGCAAAATGTTTCGGGTTTCGGCGATAACACAAATCACCGTAGGGACAATCAGGTGTCCCCAAAGGAGGAGTCGGGTAACTAGGCCTTCGGTAATCACTATCGCCAGGGTGAGATTCTGTTAAACGGTGTTGTGGATTCCGTCTGCATTGATTTAGAAATATGTTAAGAAAAACCACACATAACTTGGATACTACATATGTATGTATACCTATAACATCGAATACCAAAACGGCAAGACTCTCTTGAGGTGGAGTTAGCTTCTGCTTTCTCTACCTTAATCGCAGGTTTTATATCAGCCATGTTAAAAGAAGAAGAGGAGGAAGGTAATATATCAAAATTTTCTTGTGTAGGACTTTCAGTTTTAATTCTAATTGTTGGATTCACGACTTCTTGTTGTAAATCGGTTGTTAAGTCATTATCAATGTTTGAAACATTTTCTTTTTGAATTTCATCTTCTCTCGGTGCATCCAATGCTTCGTCTTCTTTAGATGTTCTGCTCCTCTTCGGGTTATTAGATTTTTCACCAGAAATCCCGCGTTTCTGTGCGTTTTGATTATTATTTAACTCAGCAATAACGTCTCCGGCACTTGAATTTTGGTTTATTTCCGCCACCATTTTAACACGGATCCCATTGCTGCAATGCGCGCCATCTTCAACTATTCTATTTACTTGATTTTCAGATGTGCTAGACGATTCCGTTTGACCTGCGTCTTTTATTAAATTTTCAGCACATAATTTAATTTCTGTTTCATTCGAAATCATTTTGATATAAATATTGCTTTCCAAACTTTAAATTAATATTCGACACCGTTGTGAAATAATGACGCATTTGATATTGTTTTGTTACTTTTCACATAGAACGTATGTTTTCTATGCCTCATAATTATACGATCTCTGCCTATTACCAACCCAGAAGGAAAAAAGTTTGAACAAGTCAGGATAAGAACGTGTTTACACATCAGATTATCGTATCTCGATTTTGTTTAAATTTACGAGACTCGTACGTAACAGATTTGATTGATTCAAAACTGTCTCTCTGTCAGCCCATCATTGATCATCTTTCTTTTTCACAAGTACTACCGGCGAACTCTATGGACATCGATAGCATTACTCTCGCTCATTTCCTTTGCTTTGATTTACGACTTCACGTTTGCTAGTGGAACACTTCCAGGAGCTTAACGCCTAGCGTCAGTGCAATGTCTTACGACGTTGGTTCTGCCTTGTTTGTTGCCTTCCTTGTCAAATACGTTGGAGCATTTGCGGAGAAGTTGGTCTTCTGCAGGTGTTTGCCCTGTAATCCTTCCTTTCAAGCATTTATGGCTTTCTCTATGGTTGACGATGGCGTACACCTCTTGACATTGCCCCAATGCCCTGCCTTTCCCTTGTTGTGACTCCCTTCCCTGGAAAGGGAGCGTCACAGCTTTCAGCAAAACGGTTGGACGATTAAACTGCAATTTCCAGAATATTTCTTTGACCGAATCCCCCTGTGTGTCAATTTTTTGTGAAATCACGGCATACATTTGTAAATTCTGACATTCATTCCCGAAGTGTTCCCGGCATTTACTTGAGATTTGCAGTCAACAGAACGCTCATGCCCATACCCATAGATGAGCCTGGAGTCTTTTCTTCAATATTGTTGTTGTTGTAGCGGCTTTCTTCAATCTTCGTTGATGGCTGTTCAAAGTCATTTGAAAACTCAACATTTCTTTTCAAAAGAAGGCTATTGATTGTCAAAGCCTTCGGCTTCCATGGCTTCAGACAGCCGTTATTGAAGCTTCGCGTTATTTTTGGTTGGGAATAATGGTCACTTTAAGGGGTAGTATTGATAAATCCTGAATCTTGATCACCTCCTATTGTTATTTGATTTCAATCACACGAAAAATGTTTATGCCAATGCTATATACGACTATCAGATGATAGCGGGAGCCTGACTAAAGTGTTCTAAGCCACTTAAATAGAAGGTTCAATATCAAAAACTAAACATACAGTGCTTTCCAGGTTATTTAGCGAATAATCGTTGGGCACACCAGGGCGAAGACACACTTTGCTGGCATATCAGTAGCAAAAAGTATCCGTTGCTCCATAGTCTACTGTAGAGTGAATATCGTAGAGTGAGAGAGTTGTATGGTAAATCACTGTGTTCATGTGCAACGAATTCGGTACATTTATTTAACAACCCAGTATTCAGTATTGGAGTCAGAGGATTTAGCATTTGAAAAAGTTGGCGCTGAGGAAATGGATTTTGTCAACATTTTCTCGGAATTTTTAAATAAAAGAAACAAAATTAAACTAGCGAAACAGAGAACTGTCAATTTGCCTGAATACAGTGTAATTCGCAATGGTAATTGAGAGACCAAACAATGTAATTCAAGAGACCGTGGAAAAGCTATATTATTTGATACGGCATTTATAAGAAATAAACTGCAAAGTACACCCTCTACAGGAAACACCCTGTGTGAGTTAGAACATGATTCAAAAAACTTAAATATCAAAAAGTGGTGCTGGAATTTAATTGCGATACTTTAAAAGTGAGTCTTAATCAAAGAGTAAAATTTTGGTATGGTGTTACCTTCATTTTTAGTAATCAATTAAGTTTCTAACCAACAAACTCTTTAATATTTTTTTTTTTTTTTGCAATTCACTTCATTACAGACCAAATAGTGTATGACGTGACAAAATACATGAAGAGTCGACTTTTGACCGGAAGAGATAAGAACGCTTAACATTGCAACAAAATATTAATATCCGAAACTTACCAAAGATCTTAAAATATATAATAGTGGACCATAAAAACGTAATATGTCGGAAAAACTGGATGTAATTATATTTGGGGCGTCAGGCTTTACTGGTAAATACACTGTCTTTGAAGCAGCTAGTGTTTTACAAAACTATCGCTGGGGCATTGCTGGTCGTAATCGGGAAAAATTGGAAAATGTTCTTAAAGATATGGGAGCAAAAGCGCAAAGAAATCTAACGGATATTCCTATTATATTAGCGGATATAGATGACGAAGCCTCTCTGCTAGCTATGGCCAAACGTTGTCGCGTACTGGTGAATTGTTGTGGTCCATACCGATTTTTTGGCGAAGCTGTTGTGCGAGCGTGTCTCGAAGCTGGCACTCATCAAGTAGATGTTAGCGGTGAACCACAATATATGGAAAATATGCAGCTGAAATATAATAAGCAAGCAGAACAGCGGAAAGTATACATTATTTCAGCTTGCGGCTTTGATTCAATACCGGCAGATCTGGGTATCGTCTTTATTGAAAAGAATTTTGACGGTGTTGTAAATTCCGTAGAGAGCTACCTACAAACTCACACCAAAGGTGAAAATTCTGGAGGTGCAGGTGTCCATTACGGCACTTGGGAAAGCTTAGTTTATGGGCTAGCACATTCTCATGAACTACGGGAAATTCGCTCTAAATTGTTCACTGAAAAATTGCCAAAATTTAATCCAGTTCTGAAGCCTCGGCCCCTAATTTTCCGATCAGAGATAGTTAACAGTGTTTGCCTTCCGTTTCCAGGAACAGATCGATCAGTTGTAATGCGTTCCCAGCGCTTTCTTTACGAAAGTGAACATAAACGCCCTATTCAAATGCACGCTTATGTTGCTTTTAAATCTTGGATTGCAGCTATTTTAGTTGCACTTGTAGGAGTCTCTTTGGGAATATTAACAAAATTTTCATTCGGTCGCAAGTTATTACTTAAATATCCGAAAGTGTTCTCTTTAGGATTTGCTTCCCACGAAGGTCCTTCTGAAGCTTTAATGGAACGTGTAAGATTTTCTTTTATTATGAGAGCGATTGGGTGGCCGAGATCGGACCGATTGTCAGAACCAACTGACCAATATACGGATCCTCCATCAAAAACTTTAACAGTAAAAGTATCAGGACCTAATCCAGGATATGGTGCAACATGCGTAGCATTACTTAGTACGGCTGTAACCATATTAAAGGAAAGTGATAAAATGCCTGGATCTGGTGGGGTTTTACCACCAGGAGCTGCTTTTGCAAAGACAAGTTTAATATCTGAATTGGAAAAACATGAGCATGGTATTAAGTTCGAGATTTTGGCCAACAAGTGAATGTACATACATATGAACTAATAATCTAAACGTTTAAAATATTTATCGTTACCATTATTATTATTGTTACATTTCACTTCGTTACTTGTACGTACATGCATATATATATATATCTAACTAACAAAGAAATAAAGCAACATTTGTAACTTCTTTTTACTTTTATTAAATTTGATTATTTGGATTAATTCCACCATAGCAACTGGCCAAATATTTGGGACCTAGCGATTTTCGGCCGAGCACCTTCTCCACTTTAGAGTTTGCGTTTTGATGTTTTCAAACAAATGGAGCTTTTAATTAATGACACAAATACACTCGGAAAGCCTTATATTTCCTGCCTAGGGGCGACCGCGGTAGCCGAGTAGTTAGCATTACGTACTACCATTCGGAATGCTCGGGCTCAAATCCTGGTGTCGTAACATACAAAAAGTTATAGAAAATTAACTTCATTAAAAAATTCAGCTAAATTTTCCAGTTGAGGTCTCCCCTCGGTGGGGAATGTCACCCCTATCCGAGTGTATTTCTGACATGAAATAAAGCTCTTCATAAACAGTAGGTCCCTCCATTTGTTGGAAAGACACCAAGACGCAAAACCACAAATTGGAGGTTACAAAGCGCTAATTATATATAGGGGAGATCGCAGTTACAAAAATTAACTTCATTTTTATATTTAAATTAATTCTCTATATTTTTTGGATGTTGGTCGGATCGTTGTCTTCTGAGGCTCAAAATTTACAGGAACGACCCAGATTTTTAATTAGCCAAGGATGTATATTGATTATGTCGGGGTCAAGTCTTAGTAGACAGGGATTTAGGGACAACAGTATTCAGACCCTAGAACACCTAAGAGTTCAGAGAGAGAAGAAAACTGTAAAAAATTCAAGAACGTGTTAACGGACGTTGGTGAATGGCGTTTAAAAGCGTCTTCTGGGTGATGCTGAATACAGAAAAGTACTCTCTTCCTGATATGCATAGGATTGTGGTTCGGTTTCAAGTAAATGTCTGTTGGTGACCGCCCTACAAAGTAGAACATTATGCTCCTTAACTTGTAGTATAAATGCTTAGCAGTGCAAGTAATGCTCTGGCGACATAAGGAGGTTTTCTATCGCGGTCCTGAAAGAAGCCGGTACAGTTTTGTCCTTCATCAATATCCTGGCCATACCATAAATGCACAATAACGAAACAGCTGTGTGGAGAGAACAACACCCTGCGGAACCTCTTATTTAATCCTGTCGGAGTTTGAATGTCGAGACTCTACTGAGGAGCCAATTAAATATCAGTGTGTTCAATGCGTCCAGTTTTGGTATTGTGCAAATATAAAGTGTAAAGTAATTATATCTCTGTCAAAATTCTTTGTATGGAACCCGGCATTCTATAATTGGCTTGCCACAATACTTTGCTAACTCTGATATTTTGGAACGCTTTTCGGGCAAATAAGTTGCTTTTCGGTGAAATATTAACGCAAAAAACTTGCCCTTGCTACGTCGGCCGCTGTTGCTAAGATTTATGATAAAATAAAGCATCACAAACCTTGCGCATCAATAACTTTACTGATGCATTTTGGAACATGATACATCGTCAAAGCTTGCACAGTTGCATTTAGGAATGTGTGACAATGTGACGTTGCTTTGCAACTGACGTTTTGCAACTCACCATTTTATATAACGACAATCCACTGATCATACTTGGATGGAACAGGAAATCGTCGAATCCTAATTTCCGGAACAGTTATATATATTTTCCGATGATATATTTAGAAAATTTCACTTTATAGATATATTAGCTATTTATATCTTTAAGAATATGTATACTTTTGCAATATCAAAGAAAATTGCAATTGATTATACTACCTAAATTATCTATAGCAACTTTATTTCGTAAAGAGCAACGTATGCAAAAGATATCTTTCACGTATGTACACTCGTTGTCGTTGGCATACGATACGTACTACGTATACGTCGGAGAGTATTGTAATAAAAAAGTAATCATATGTTAAATTTCTCTATTATTTTCTTTGAAAATTTGTGAATTTTCAATAATTTGAATAAACATTGTCGAAATTTGAAAAAATCTAAAATTCCAGAGTATAGTTTTAAACAGAAATAACTATTTCAGGAATATTGTTTGCTTAAAGGTTCGTTGAATGTATTTTTAACAGAAGATTTTTGCATTACTTAATCGAATTCGCAGCCGCTTCAAAATGAATTTCCTAAAAGGATTAACAAAAATAAAGTCGAGATTTGCGCGTTTCATTGAGACAACAAATAGTTTTATGTGGGTACAACGCAATGAAAAGTTCGCAGACAGCCGTTTAATTGTTGAGCAGTTAACAGATCGGGTATTGGTTCGTGTGCAAGGAGAAGAGGTTGTGCCTTTCTTGCAGGGTCTCATAACAAATGATATGGCTCATCTGCAGTCGGGCACTACACATCTTGCAAAAACTCCGGCTATGTATACGATGTTTCTAAATAAAGCTGGCAGAGTACTATATGACTCGATTATATATCGCACTCCGGAACCAAACACATACTTAATTGAGTGTGATAAATATATATCGAACGAACTAAGACGACATTTAAGACTCTACCGGGTTAGACGCAATATTCAGATTGACGCTGTCGATGCAGAATACCGTCCATGGATTGTTTTTAACCCGGTTGGGAGCGTTGTTCGAATAGATACTAATATTCAGATTGGACAAGAAATAATATCTACTCCGGACCCTCGTATTCGTGACCTCGGGACACGAGTAATCACAAAGTCTGATAAAACATGGAAAGACTTGGCAAATATGTTTTCTAAATCAGGCGATGTTACGATTGCGAAACCAACCGTTGACTGTAACTATCGTATGCATCGTTATCGCTATGGAGTTGGTGAGGGCGTTCAGGATCTTCCGCCTGGAAAAAGCTTTCCTTTAGAAGCTAATTGTGATTATATGCATGGCGTAAGTTTTCACAAGGGCTGTTATATTGGTCAAGAGTTAACAGCTCGTGTACACCACACAGGAGTGGTCCGAAAACGTATAATGCCTTTGCGTTTATCTGAACCGGCTTCACCAAAATCTGTTACAATATCAACCGAAGCTGGTACTAATGTTGGTACAATTCGGGGCGCCAGCCTAGATAGGGCCTTAGGGCTCCTGCGCGTAGAACAAGCGTTGGCTTCAGCAAAATTATTTGTGGATGGTAAAATATGTTACGTAGAGAAGCCATACTGGTGGCCACCAGAGTTACCTAAAAAAGCGAGAGTTGAAGGCTGCTAGGATTAAATTTTTGGTTATTCAAAAATGTATTTTTACAAATTGTTAACTAGTGATAGTAGCCGTTATTTTTATGTACATATATATGTATATATATAAAAATCTGTATCTTATGTGGTTTCATATGTTCAATTAGTTATGTAAAATAAATATATATATATTCCAGAGTTTTTTTGCGTTCGTTTTCAGGCTTTTCTATGGATGGTACCGAAGCCTTTAAAGAATCATTAGACAACAATGAAGACGTGCAGTTAAATGTAAAGAATGAAGAGGAAGAGATAGCAGTTTTAGAAGCTGAAGCCAATTGCTTAAATTCAGAAAAACAAGAAGCAAAATTCAATGAACGTGTTCCAAATATCGATTTTCAGTGCGGTATATGCGACATGACGGAATCAGTCCATTATTACGGAAAAAGGCCACCATTTCTATACGGACTCCAACTTTTAGAGGACTCTTTTGTGATGCGTGATCCTTTTCAGCCGCCTCCCCTTCGCTGGAAACCTAAATCGGAATATTTTGTCGTAATAGGCGCCAAATGTTCAGTGTGTCAAAAGATCGTGTGCAAGGGGACGGAGTGTAGTTTTTACTACACATGCACTTACTGTTTAAATTGCGCAAAAAATTGTCTAGATGTAGCACCCATGGAAGTTCAAGCTAAATTAAGAAAACAATTAGAACAGGACAAGTAATATTTAATTTTTTTGATTGAAATAAAAACTTATTTATATTAATGCAAATTATTTTGTAGACTAATACATTAGATTAATTTTTCTCCTTCGGTGCTATTTTGTTTGCTAATTTTTGCATTTTACTCGTCACCTTCTTTTTTTGTTTCTTAATGCCATCTACTTTGACACCTCGATACTTGGGCTTACTACTGGTAGCAGTAGTAGTACTTGGCTTTTTAGGTAAATTACCTTCTTTTGCATTTTTTCTGACCTTGTTTTTTTGATTTTTCTTAACAAGCTCTTTCTTTTTTGTGTCTTCTGATGTATCTTGTGGTTTCTTTTCACTTAGTTTTTTAGCAGAATATCTTTCTACATGGATAGGGCGTTCATCTAGTATAGTTTCATTGAGCTCTAATGCTAATCCTACAGCTTCAGGGGATTTAAAGCAAACATAAGCTACACCTTTACACCCTTTCTCACTACGCAAACAACGGACATAGTCGATTTCACCGCAGCTGGAAAATATTTCCCGCAGCTTCTCTTCGTTTGCACCTGCATAGTTTTATAATCAGTATTTTAGAAAATATAATATTTAAATGTATAATTACTGAACTTACTGTATTTTAGGTTTCCAACCAAAATTGTACGTTTAACATCCATGTAATCATTCTTTGCATCTGCACGTGTTATGCGCAAGTGGTTATTTTTGAAAACGGTGCCATTTAAGTTTAATGCTCGTGTTGCAGTCTCGGCATCATTGAGAACCACCCACGCATTCAGAGTGCCTGCCTCTTTTCGGTGTTTATGTTTAAATAAGACTTTTCCATTAGATGTTCTAAAGCGTATCCCATTTACGGGTGCGTACTCTTTGAAAAGGCGAAGCAATTGAACGCGTTTAGTATTTACTGGCAGGTTTCCAACAAAAACTGTTGCTGCTTCTTTAATCGGATCTCGTTCCTTTGATTCTAAAATATAATACTATAAGAATGTGACCAAATAGCTGATGGTTAACACAATATTTTACAATATTTACCATTGGGTTTTTGTTTATCAGAATTTTTAATCTTTTGCTTTGATTTTGATACATCTGCAACTTGCCCATCACTCTTATTTCCATCGCCTTTAGATATTCCCTCGGATTTTTTTGCCTCCTTCTTTTCTTGTTTCTTCAACTTCTTAGCCAATTTTTTTGCTTTCTTTTTCTCAATTTTATCAACTGATTGCCCAGAAATAGCCTCTACAGAAGCATCCCTATTTACATTGTCTAAATTTTTCTTACTTTTCTTTTGCTTTTTAGGTTTGGCTGCACTTGCTGTATTAATATTTCCATTCGGGAAACTGGTCGATTTTTTTGCAACATCCTTTCCATTTTTATCAACGGCTTGAGCCAACTTCTTATCATTAAGAATTTTCTTATTATTCTTTTTTATTTTCTTGCTTTTCTCTAATACACCTTTATCCGCAACATTAGTTTTTAATTCAGAATTTTTATTCTTCGTCATGTTGTATATTTCTTCAGAGTAAAAAGTTTTCAACCTGCAAAAATTATATCAAAATAAGCTCTGCACGTTTTTTCCTGTAGCGCTGTCACCTTTTCATCAAGTCATGCCAGATCTGCTTTTTTTTAATTACAAAGAACGTATATGATTAAGAAGCGGCATGACGGTCTCGTAAATTGGCTATTTCAATAAGAGCGTAAATTGAAGAGTCAGTCTCAGGAGTTCGCATCCTCTTCACAACATTCGTTGTTGTTGCTGTTGTAACTGCTAAAATATTTCCCAAAGTCCTTTTTGGGGAATGTTGCTTGAGTGACAGTCCTTTGCCGGATAAAAATCGGGGTCATTCCGGTATAAAGACCCGACTGTCCCGGGAACTATTGGATTTTAGTCGCCTCTTACGACAGGCATGCATTACCGCGGGTAAATTCTTGTACCTCTAACCCGCAATGGTTTTCACAACATTCGTAGTTTGGAGTGCGATAGGGGGTCGCAAACATTCAAAGCGAATTGAGCTTTATTTCCACATCTATTCATATTCGTCGACGGAAAAATGGTGTGAAGAGGACGCGAACTCCTGGGGCCGACTCTACTGCATTTGCACAAAGACCGTATGATCCTTGTCGCTTTTTATTCATATACGTTTTTTACCTACCTTCGGAATCGATCTCTAGATTGTTTACAAAGAGGCGATGCAGTAAAATTTCTTGTAAATAATTGAACTAATGATTTCTTAATATTAAGTAACATCACTTCACTATACACAACGGCTAACTCTTATTTATTGGCTTCACTTCCTACAGATAGATAGACAGATTATTAAACAGGATATTGTGTCCTCCGATTTCTTCACATTATTTCAACCAGACCTAATGCCACACGTAAGATCCCATATAACTTTAGTAGATTTGCCTTTTAATCCCCTTACCTAACCTTTGTAGGTCCATGGCTCTCGCCCCAGAACAACGCCCAGATCATCCAAGGCTATTTTATGTGTTATTACCGCCGAGGCAGCAACCGCGTTGTCGATTGATCTGGACAATCTTTATGTCAGGCGTTATTCATCTTTGCCCGTGTGCTCCTCGAAGTCGGAGAGCATCAGATCCTCACTATTGCTTACCGTTCTCATGAGGTTCAGATCTTCAGCCAGTTCCTCCAGTTCTTTCGTCGAAGGGATCACTTCATCTGCTGATACGTTTATTTTTTGACCATTATCTTGGGATGAGCTGCTTTTGGATACAGCCCCTTCTTCCCCTGATTCAGCTTCGGCTGGATCTGATTGCGCTTCTTCTTCTTCCCACCCCGGTCTCCAAGGCTTGGCAAGTATACTGTCGAATTTAAAAGTGAGCCTGAAGTTGTTCTTCGACATGTCATTGAACGACGCGTCCACTCTACCCAAAGATTCAGCTTCAAACAGGTTCCTTCAGCTTCCTCGTCTAATACCTTCCGATGGGAGGTATGGAGCCCTTCGTTTTGCGTCTGCAGTAGCCCTAACGCGTATTCCTGCCCTCATCCACGCTTCGGGGAAGGAATATGGTGATATTGTGGGTTGGGGGTATATCTTCACCCACCTTCGTAGTCAGCTCTACTCCCAACCATCTACTTAATTTGGGTGGTCCTTCGTTAGCCATTCGACCGTGCTGCTGCCTTTACAGTCTGCTATTAGTAGCCCTGGTCTGAAAGTTACTCCAGTGAAAGCAGGCGGCTTCTTCCGGCCCATTATTACCTCATCCATTACGGCGTCCTGGATATCGGTCAGCTGCTCCGGCCACAGAAACTCTTTAGGGAAGTCCCTAGGAAGCATGGCCAGGCCTAAGTGCTTGCTGTTACGGAGCATCGGATCCTTCTTGTTGGCCCACTGGAGAGATCGGTCTAAGTCTTTTCGAGGGTTGGTCATCTGTCGGGGTTCTTTGCGCGTTTGTGCGCTTACTACTACTGCTTGTTTGCGCAACACTGCCCTAGTTCTGGTACCTTCGGACCACGTGGTCTTCTTTGCTTCTTATCTGGTTTACTATCATTTGGAGGCGAGGTTTCATGCCCTCAATGCCGTCCATCGGCTCTCGGAGGGGTGGTATTGCTTGCTCACTGCTCGATCCTTAGCCTATTTCAGCCAGATGAAAAATTGGCTGACTACAGTAGTTGACACCATGTATGTCATCTTTATCTCCATTATACCAACAACAAAATGTCTACCATCGTCACTTTGTACCAGTGCCAAAGAAAAGATAGAAGCATTGAAGGATTGGCCAAAGTCTAAAGAATTGTATTAGTGACATAGTTTTCTTGGGCCACACAATTTCATCAATTCGTTCCAAATTTGGCTAACATGGATAATTGCCTCCATGAGCTCTCTAGAAAAGATAGAACTTTCGACTAGAACAGACAACAAGAAAAATCCTTCCAAGTTCAGAAGGAACGGCTCTGCACTTTATTTAGGCTAGCGTACCCGGTTGTTGGTGGAATATTTATTCTGGAAACCAATTCTACTGATTATGCGATACCTACATTAGCCGGTATATTGGAAAGCTTGTATAGAACTACTATATGTTTTGGACTATGTAACACATTTTCGCAAGTATCTGTACTGGCAAATTTGCCAAGTTAGGACATTTAGTACAGTTCAAGAATCCTGAAAGACAGGCAGCTCGATGTATTGGGAGTCTGCATAGTCATGGTGTCACTATTAAACACCGCAAAGGAAACTCCCACGTAAATGCTGATGCTATGTCCCAGCCACCATGCAGTTTAGAAGGCAAACGCTGCACAGAAGCTGAAGGTAAAGCAGACATAACAAAAGTACTTCTAATGACAATTATGTGCATCAGCAGAAAAATGGGCAGTGGACTTAAAATTTCTCAAAAAATTTCACATCCGTTCCAGTGAAGTACATCTGAGGACTACGAAAACCTTGGAGAAGATCAAACAGCGGTTCTATAGGATTTGTTGCCGTCAGTCGGTCGCAGAAGGTTTTGCATACTGCAAGGAGTGCATTTCAGCTAAAGGGTCGAATATCAGAAGCATGGACAGATGCAGAAATATAATGGAGGCGCTTCATTTGAACGAGTGCACGAAATAAAGGTTTAAAAAATGAGTTGTCACGTGTAGTAAAGCAAATCGTGATTTATTTACTAATAAATAAAGGTTGTTCGGTTCTTTCCAAATAAGAAATTGTTGAACAGTTTTGGGGACTTTTATTTAACAATCTATTATTGCATCCGAAGGTTTTAGGGAATCATCCGGTCATATTTATCGAAAATCATTACAGCATATAATGAAGGGAAGTAGCATCACCAATACATAAAATCTAAAATTTCTAAATACCTTTTTGCCTTGCGTGATCTAGTATTTATTTATTAATAGATGTGGCCCATATGCATGGTGCAGAAATTAACGACACGTGGTAACGCTGAAACCCGAATGAATATTTCGTGCCGCCCATTTCATTCGTGCGACAGTTGGATCGCTTCGCCGGGTGTGTGCTTTGGTCGATTTTAAAATCTCCACAGTGTAAAAAGTGCAGCAAATTGCGGTAGAGTTAGCAAAGTAAAAGTGTTAAAACGCAAGAAAAAATTAGATATAAAACCGAAAAGTTGAAATGGAGCACGAGGATAATGCGCAATTGGACAACATTTTGCAAAGTTCACATATGGAAAATTTGCAATTAGATGGCGGTGACGGTGTGCGTGAAAATTTGACTGTTGATGAGATAGGTGGTAAATTTGAGGGGCATGAAGGGCAGAATGATGAAGAGGAATGGAAATACATTGAAGAAGGGAAGCAGAGCGAAAAGCAACAACAACAGATGAAAGCCGGTATGGACTTTAAAGATTTAGAAGGTGTAGAAGAAGTTGGTAACGGGCATGGATATGGATACGAGCATGGTGATGTCGGTGCCGATGATAATTTGCAAGACTATCACGAAGTTGGTAACGGTGTCGTTGGCTCTTCAGCTGCAGTCGACGTAGACATCGGCTCCGCCGCAACCGGTGTTGGCGAAAATGAAATTGACGAAGAAATAATAAAAAATGATGGTGATTTTTCTACAACTTCGAACACGGCGTCTACAGCCGGTGAAGATGTAGATACGGGAGTGTTTCAAGTGGAAATGCAAATCGAGCAAGCACCATTCGAACAACTTTTGCCAAAGCAAGATGAAGATATTTTGGGTGTTGGTGCTAATAGTGGAATTACCCCTGATGAGACTGAAGAAGATGACCCTAGCTCACTTGCCACAAACAATACCAATAGGACAAGTAGCTTAAGTGAAAATATTGCACATGAAATTCAGCAATTAGGAGTAGAAGTCTCTCCCAACAGCCAAGAATTAAATCAAGAAAGCAAAACAAACGTGTCACTCTTACAAACTAAAATAGATTCTGGCCTTTCTGAAAATTCAGATTTTGAATCTGAAACTCGCTCGCAATTAAACCCAAACGCTATGGAATTTGTACCCAGCTTTGGTTCTAATCCTTCATCACCTACTGTGCTTCCAAATGATAATTCTGCTTTTGAAGTTGGCGAGCATAGTTTAGGCATTGGCACAGAAATGTGCAATCAACCACACCCAAAAACAATGCCACGCCACTTGCTTGGCGATGATGATTTCGTTGCTCAGAGCCCACGCAAAGGCAGTGGTGAATCCAATTTGGACGGTATAGCTTTACCCGAAGAAAATGATTTTGAACACGAAGCAGCAAAACGACCACATGAATTGGAGCAAGAAGACGATTTAATTGGTGTAGGTACGTTGCAGCAATTTCCACAACAGTCTCAATTAAATCATGAACATTTTGAAAATCATAATAATGATGGCGTGCATTTGAATGAAACAGAAACAAGAACAGAAGATTCGTTTGACAACTCACAATCTCATTTGATCGACCACGGTCCGGAAACATCTGTAGACCTAGATATCGACATGGACTTACAAATAGCTACTGCTAAAGAGTGTGAAAGTAATCCTAATCTTATTGAAGATGTACTGAATACAGTTCAGCCTTTGCCAAGAGATTCCGAAAGTTTGAATGCTTCGTTTGTAGAGGAGTCAACACAGCAAAGCTTTGCTGCAGTCGATAAAGAATTGCTTGACATCGATGAGAAAGAGAACGTTTCTCACTCGCCGTCCACAGAAGAGGTGCATTTGAATTTCCAGAATGAACTGAATTCTTCAGTAAAAGATATACCACAAATACCGCGTGACATGGAAAATCTAGCACACATGCAAGAATCAATTTACGTAGAAAGTACTTCTGCTGATTCACAAAGTTTACATGAAAACCCTTTTGAATCACATTTTGATACACCAAAATTACAAACAGAGGAAGAAAATGTAAAATCTCAGGAGCAAAATCTTTACGTCAAGGATACGTTTGGAGCGGAATCCGATGTTGGCTTAGGCTCCTCTCCAACTTTGAACGCATTCGCTGCACAATTTACACCAACACCAAAGCCTTTCGGCGCTGATGCCATTTCACCGTCTCCAATTTCAACTGAAGAGAAACATATGATCGAAGAAACCAAAGAACGGTTGAAGTTTGGCACAACTCTAGAGAATCTTGAGCAAGAAATGAATGATTTATTATTATCCACAAGGGATGAAGACCTTTCGCAGGTATGTTTATTTTTTTTATTCTCTAAGAAATCTTAAATTTTAAACAAAAATTATGTATATACGTGCATACATAGTATCTTGAGCTTATATAAATTTGTGGACTTTGTGGTCCATTGGAGTATGCATTAGGTTACTCCTTTGTAGTGCGGAGTTAGACCACTAAGTTTTTTTTTGTTTTTAACCGATGTTAGCCCATTATAAAAAATCTGCATACTCTGGTTATTTGAGTTGTAAGAAAACATTTATTCGGCATGAAGTCTCTTTATCTCTTGCTTTGTTTTTTAACAAAGTAACCTAAAACTTATTTAATTCGGCCTTTACTTAAGCGAGAGTATTTTGATATACATATATATACATACATATATGTATATATATATACAATTCAAAGATATTTTTTGACAACCAAAAATTGTGAAACTTAGGGTGATTTAAAAATTGTTAAGCTATTTTGAAATCTGCAGTACCGTTTCAATTACATATCAATCTTAGTGAAAAAATAAAATACCATGTCCTCGATTTCAATGAAGTTGCACTGATACTGACATTTATTAAAACTTCAAATTGTATCGAAGTGAGTATACATACATACGAGTATATGCATATGTACATGGGCACTGTTATGAGACTACAAAGCTATAAAGCTGAATTAAGTCATAATATTGTTATCACACTTCCTGTAACAGTTCCAAAGCTCTCCCATAACTCTCTTTTATAAATTTGTTTGATACTCGTGTGGAAATGTACATATTTATGTATATAAATAATTACGTACACATTGCTCTTAAGCTGATGGTTGGATAGAACTTTTTTGCGTTGCGTGACATTTCTAACTTTGGCACAAAAGCAAAAAATCGTCAATGCTCCTATACAACGAAATTTTATGTATTCTATTATTATTTTTAATGAAAACCCTGTTCTATCCTTTATATTCAGAATATATTGAACTTGTTTTAAATTTTAAATATAAGTTCTTTGAAATTTGTGAAAAAAGATGAGAGATGACCGACTTTTGACGCTGTGTTGGTGCAGGCTTGGCGTTTCTTATGAGAGACATCTCGTATAATTGCATGTATTTATCTCGGACGTCAAAGTCAATCTGAAACGCAACGCGGCGTAAATGTCTTAACTGCCATCGACATTATCCACCCATACGCACAAGAATGTTGAGCTTAAGTTTACCTCAACATGTAAAAAGGGTCTTTCATAACCAATTTTCACGGCTCTATGTTGCAGTATATTTACAAACTATTCTTAATAGTAACGACAAACCATCATGGCTGCGAACATTCAAACGTACGATATCCTCATTACACATCGGGTAGAAAATTATCAAAGTAACCAAACCTATATATTTATATATTTTAGATAGAATCTTCGGTACATCAGCTAGACACCTTTTATTCCAGAATTCTGTGATATTTTTCGATCACTAAAATTAAGCTACATAAATACATATGCACATACATATGAATATATATATAGACATATACATATCTATGTAGAGTTTTGCTCGTTTTGTTTGTAAACAAAAACTGAATGAATGAATTTAAAATGTTTACTATACATATGTATGTATGTACATATGTAAAAGCATGAGCATAAACAAAGTTTTGCAGTGTAAGCGGCCGGGAACAACAATGCGTCGTCGGCGTTTGTTTTGGTATAAATGTCAAGATTAGATACTTATGTTTGCCCTTATCGTGTTCACACTTCAAGAAATCTATGATAATGCGCTAGAGAAGTTGATTGATTTGTGTGTGAGAGAATCAATGGGAATAGTATTGAATAAGTGGAAGGTAAAATAATTGAAACATTTATTGTTTATGCCTGTATGTAGACATATATGACTATTTTGTTTAACATAATCTAAATATATCCCCTGTCATAACTGGTTTTTAAGGCAGATATTTTTAATATTACCTTTTAATATTTATTGTTTATTTATGACGCCCTTTAATTATTTTCGTTCTTGCGTAAAATTAGTTTTTAATAGCCAAACAATCGATTCAAAAGTTACAGATATGTATATGTTATATGATATGATTTAACTGAGTTGTTGAAATGGTGAAGGATTTCTTTTTTCTATGGTTGGTAAATATTGAAAGAAAAAAATTTTACTGTGGAATACAACAGCCGGATTTTCATTATGACAGGGAAATTTAAAGATTATCAAAATTTGAAAATATTGCAGGATTTTTTTTAATAAACAAACATGTACATAATATAATGAATTGCGAGTTTTGAATATACATTTATTTCTCAAATGGTTTAACGGATAAATGCATATTGTCTTATTCTAAACCCCATGTCTACAGTTGGCCGACCGGCTATTTTATACAAAAGTTGAAGCGATTTTCGGCAGAGATCCTCCTCCAATATGTGGATGTTTTTCCAGCAAATGTAGGGACCTACGGTTTATACTAAGCCGCCTTCGAACGGTCGAACCAATACTCGAAGCCTATCGCCGGATATAAACTAAAAGATGGTAATAGTATATACTTCGATAGGAATATTTATTTCAAATAAATAAAGAAACCTCAATAACTCTTAAGGGTTTGGATTGATTTTAGGAAATGTATGTATACACCCTTTTCTGGTCAAATAAAACCACAAAGCTCATAATAGCTTATAATATATTTCCAACACATTAACTAATTGGTCTGTCTGTCGCTGCCGCAAGCCTAGTGGTTTTTGTACATGCAATTAAGTACAAACGTATCGCCATGTTATCCACAATCGTTATAGGTTCATAACATGCGCAGCGTGGAAGGTCCGCATCGTATGGAATGTCAAATTCCTAAATTAGAATCATCGACTAATTAAAGCATTATAACGTTTAGGTTACTACATTTACGTACAGTGGTGGCCACATCTTTTACACTCAAAAACCGGCTTGATTTGTTAACCATTTCTCTTTGCCAAAATATTTATTGAATTAAATCAAAGGAAAATCATAGAGAATACGTTTGTATAAATTATTTTAAATATTTTTTAATATATATATTTTTTTGGGGTAAATAACACGGAAACAAATAAATATTAATTAAAATATTTTTGGATTGAATTTCAGTACTCTTATTTTTTCAAAATTTCTATAACACGAATGATGAGGTTAAAATGATTATGACGTAAAAGGATTTAATTTTGGTTAGATATGATGTGACCAACACTGTATTTGCGTAGTGATTGTGGATTAGATGGCTGATCAGATGAGTTGAAGATGAAGCCTTGTAATCGCTATGCAAAATTTTATACCCACGTTCATTTGCTTATTTGTATGTATGTAAGTAATATATAAATATATATGTAAATACATATATAAAGAGTTGATAAAAATTACGATTTGATCTGATCTGATCTAGCTATATGTTATGTGAAATTTGTATGTGTTTAGAAAATTATATTGATGTTAATTGAATTGGAATGGTCTGTGAGTAGCTTAGTCATCGCTGTGCTGGCGACACGATACAAAAACGATAAAAGACTAGCTGCGCAATAGGTAGAGAACGATTAAATGAATGAATGGGATTCAGGTTTCGGTGTGACTGTTCTAATCAAATGCGGAACACATCATCCATGCTCCATTCATATTATAATAAGTTAGTAAGAATAAGCCAAAAACGAAATTGAGAGACTTAAATGTCTTACTCTCCAAATGAGTGACATTTACCGAACAGGAGAAGTAAAAATTAGCCAGCAAGTTTTATAATAATTGATTTATTTGCCCGTTTGAATTCGTTCATTTATGCAGATTATTGTTTACTGCTTTTAAATATTTTTAATTTTTTTTTTATAAAATGAGTAATTTTTAGTTTATTGATTTTATTCAAAATTTATTATATTTCAAAAATGATGAAATTCTACATGCTTCAAAGCCCTCAAACGATAAAGTTGTTTTTTTTTCTGAAAATACGGCGGTTTTTGCAAAACTTGCTTTGAAATAATTTTTCGTTTAGATTTTCAGGAAGGTTGCATATACAATAAATCAAGTCTTTTTTATGTAAGACAGCAATATTAATTGAATGTAAAAGAATTTGTGGGATTAATAATTAAACCTAAATGCAACTAGCATTTCCTTTTCTGCACTGCCGTTGTTTTCGGAAGCTTAAGATTTAGCGTAGTAACAATTTTGGTGGTTACCAGAGGTTTGCGTGGCCACTGCGCTCTATATATATATATATATATATATTCATTTCATGCCTTTAATAGTCCTAACTTCTAATTCCTGAACTCAAACCATTCAAATAAATTTAACAAATTTACATTTGATTACCTTTGTTGGTAAATCATTAAAATTAAAGCATTAATTTGATTTTCATTTTAAATAATCACTATTATCAGCAAAATGCGACTGCGGGTTATACTCTCAGGGGTTTACCCGTGATAAGGCATGCATGTTTTTGTTGTTGTGGTAGGGGTTTACAACTCCGTTTGGGAACAGTCTGGTAGTCTAAGTAATCGATGTTTCTGCGGAGACTCGTTCCATGCGCGCAATACGTTAGGTATGTCGGGATCGAGTCTTACGACAGCCGGTTCTACGAAGCGGAGTTGACCAGCCAAAGGATGCCACCCTTTCGGCGACCTAACCCCGTAGGGTATGCCTGTCGTAAGAGGCGACTAAAATTCAATAATTTCCGCGACTGCCGGGTCTTTATACATGAACGATCCGGTTTTTTATCCGGCCAAGGACTAGTGACAGTCCAATAAGGGGAATATTTTGCGGTTATAGCAACAAAACAACATTTCCAGAAAAATGTGACCAACTATTTGGCACAAAAAAACGAAATTAAAATAAAGAGAAATGCAAAAAAATCGTATGACGAATTGTGAACTTTGCGAATTTTATTATTTACATACAGAATGTCAATTATTGTTTGCAAAATGAAAAAACCCACAAAAATCGAAATTTTATTTTATAAATGAAAGTGTTTTTATTTCCCTTTTTTAATTGGTATTGTATTCTAAGCATTCTTAACATAAACGCCTCGCAAAAATAACAA